GCCCGAGTATTGTGCCTTCTTTTGTCTTAAAGGAGTCACGGGACGCTACAATGAACCTTCTTTTTTGGACTTAGATTTACTATCTGTCCCGAGAATAGTGGTCCATTAAGGCATAGAAGATGCTTCTTCCATAATGCGTTTGAAAAATTGCACATCACCAGGACTAAGCTTTTGCTTCTAAGTAAACGAGAATCCTAAATAGGAAAACATGAGATTTGTTTCGAGTTCTGTGATGGTTCGTTTAGCTCCGCTTTGGTTGCTAGTGCACTCAAGTCTCAGCTGATTGTGCTTCCGTTCGGGTGCTTGGCTTTCAGGTTAAGTCAGTGCCCTCAGCCCTTCTGCATTCCAGCAATTCATTTTTTCTCATTTCCCTATGACTCATTACGACTTCTGGAAAGACTCTGGGCTCCAAGTTTACTGAGGTGACAAGCACACCCTAACACAATGGATGTCTAGCCCGATTTATGTTGGCAAGTGCTGAACCTTAACGTGGCGGTATCTCATCCGCCACTGATAGAGAACCTGGAAACACTCATAATAGAGAGTTTAAAAATGACATCAACCTACGTCAACTACCCCAGTCCTGTATTCTACGGGGATGATATTAGTAACTAAATCAACGCTAGCCGTGAAATATCTGGAATGCTCGTTATGAAGCCGCCTACGGTACCCATATAGGGACGTCAACTAAGTCAACACGCGATACCTTTTTAATTCCATTATTCGGAATACAGCCCATTTAATTACCACCGAACTGCACTGAAGTGCGAACAAGGTGGCATGATGAAGTAGGTACGGATCATCATCATCAACATCACCACCATCATCATTATTATTATTATTACCAACAGCAACAACAACAACGACACTATCTTCACCATCATCAACACTGTCATCGTTGTTGTTGTTGCTGCTGCTGTTATCACAATCATCATCATAAATAACTGGTTTTTGAAAATTGTTCTTTGGGCTGACAATGGGGATACGAAATGACCCTGTTGTAAAGCAGCGTCTAGTCTACACCCGTATGAGGACAGCACATTCCTCCTTCCCCAACACAGTTCCCAAACAGGATGAATTCCCAAATCTAATAGAAATGGAAAGAAGCATCATCGAGGTAGAGACTGGGTATCTCCCCGGTTGCGCGCACATTTGATAACCACTACAAATGGTTCTTAGATGAATCTTTGAAACATCGACTTCGTTGTGATGGCCGGTCCGAGAGGTCGACCTGGGCGAGCGATGGGAACGGCATTCAAATAATACGATCGTACAATGCTTGGGTGTATTGCTTAACTCTGCGTTCGATCTCATGAACACTTATGTCTCCGCCTTTGTACTTCTAGGCGATATGGCCTCCGGGCCGTGCCATTATCCTTGGCTGTTCTATGCGTCATCAATACATTTTCTGCCATGCTACTATGACTTGTTACGACTTCATAATTATTCAATGCCATAAATTGCTAAACTTGATTGAAAGCCGCACACTGACTTGTCACCAATGTGGTGTCTATTAGGCTGTCTGCTGTTGAGTTCTATGCCACCATGCTTCGACCTTACAGAAATTAGCCAGCTAAAGTGGATGTTAGTCGATCGCAAGTGGCCTATGTTCGATCACCTAAATAGTAAATTGTGTCCTAGTCTTCACAATCCTATGTTTATTGCTTAGGTGACACCCTTCATTTCTAATTTCCTTTGACACAGTCCTTAAAAAACCATTCAGCCGGTGGTCATATGAAGGTTAGAAGGTGATATCTAAAGTATCAATAAATCGGCAAATTCTTCGCCATTGGTCGTGGACTAAACATCATAATGTGAGTAAAATTTATATCCTGATAACAAAATTTTCACTAGCAAAGAGGCAGACTAACCCGTGAAGACCACAAATACCTTGCCGAGACCCACTGAAGCTTTTAAGGCAAATCAAAATTTACCAGTTCAGGTCTAATAAGATACTATAGTTTAACACCCATTCCAAGTAGTACAGTTAAAAACACTTGGCAACCGTATTTTTGTCCAAGATTTATTTCTTAAATAATGCAGACCTTACTTAAGTAAGAATTCCTTAGTCTGGAGGCCTCAAGGTGCATTTCCTATCCCGACTTCCAAATTCAAACTTGGGCTTGCGTAACACGCATGGTAGGATTCCTTTATTTTTTGCGAAATTTCTCTCGCTTTTTTATCCAAAAACCCGTCACCACCGAATCGTAGTTCTTTTATGTTGCACCTGTATATTTTTTCATCCTGTAACCACACTTCTAGTATATCCCGTACGTTTGGTATCTTTTCAATTTTGACAGTGTGGCCTACTAATTCAAGTAATTCTGATGAACTTAGAAGGATGATATATAACTACTCTTGAGACCTTCCAGTCGGTAATTACGATAAAGTACGATCCCACACGCTTCATAAGCCCCATATTTAAGCGTGACTTCGTGTGATTTTATCATTAGTACTTCATAATCTTCTCAATCACCACACGAATTAAATTCTCAAATGATTGCTGTCATAACAACGGCTTGATAAAACACTGTTACACAATTCGATTAATTTCTAGGAAAATCGGTACACTATCTGGGCATTAAGTGTAGTCCCGCTTTGTATAATTAGCAATTTAAATTTATGCCATTAGAGTTCCTACCGAATTGTACAGAACAATTTAATACTTGTGGGAATCCCCGTAAAATTTCATATTCGAACTGGATTAAAGTAACTATCCTGTTTGCACAGTTGGCCCTTGCCTGCGTGGTAGTAAATGATTAAAGCAGCATTACAGATTCTGGTTCACCGCGGGGAATATCTCCGAATTTGCCAATTTCATGCCTAAACTCAATCTCTACTCCCTGCCTAACTTAGGTAATGAAGCGTAAATATGATGAACTTCTATTATTTCGAATAAAATCGGACACTCTGAATAAATATTGTAGGTTCGCCGTTTATTTCTTCCTCCTCGGCCTTCACATTATGAGGCTAATTTGATCAATGCATGTTCATTGATAGACATTAAACGGGGAATGGAGGTCAGCGGTATGTCCATTTCGAACTTGAGTCTACTTCCGGGAATTCCGATGACGGCTCTGTTAGGAACGTTGTACTCCCTGACCGCTTCTCACTTAAAAGCTTTGTTCAAACAATGTATACATCGCGCAAAAGCTAAACTTGCTATCACGCTAAACCCGGGCGCACTCCTTTATTCACAACTTCCATACATCACTAGTAGAGTGTCTGTGGAGGCTAAGGGAAAAGCGACAAGAATTACTAATAAAAGAATGCATGCTCACATTTTGGTCTTTAGGACGGATGTTCATTTAAGTGCAGTGAGTTTATTTGCTAAAATGTGTGCTTTTGTTGACAAGCACCTCAGCCCCAGCATTCCATACCTCTATTTTGGCTACTTTTGTGAAAGGCCTCACCTATGACTTCCCAGGCGTTATTCACGAGATTCATTCTGTCCTCACAGAACTTGTCACAATCTCAGAACACCATACGAATAACAAGCGCATAAAAAACCACCAACTTGTGCATTCATTCCCCAGCATGCCCGCCATCCCTCGGTAATCAGTAAGAGACAAACGAGGGAGAATCACAACCGTATTTAGCCCCATAAGCGTTTGAGCATGATTAGGACAAAACCGTCGATTGCAGAGATCCCCTCCGAGGGTAACTACCGGGTGGCAAACCCACCCCGACTTGCAAGTACTTGTCGAATCCACCGCCTTACTGGCCAAAGTAGTGAAGTGAGTTGCTTAAAACTTACTCTCGTAAATATTGACAATGCACTCAATGCCTTAAAATACCTAGAAATGGTGCGAAATTCGAAGTCATTTATAGGCAGGTTCGTAATTTTTGCACACGGATTTACAGTAGACGCGATAAGTAGAAAAATGATCGTGTGTAAAAAAAGGGAAAGTGAGACAAAGGACAGTGGAAATAATGGAGGCTTCCTTATTTGAGGCCGAGTAGATAACTATAGGAGGAGGTAACAGAGAGCAAGGGCGATGTTGAGGAAAACCAGACCGGTGCCCATCCAGAGTGTGGTGGAGAAGATGAGGCGTCGGATCTGCCGCGAACATACGCATGGTGGCAACGCCAGTTCCAGTAGTGACTTAAAGATGCCCTGACCGTCCAGAGCGTAGCAAGGAACCACGTTGAACATTACCAGCGCTCCCGATAAGGAGAAGAGGTACCTGCAAACCCAATTTCATATACCATGCAATAAAGGGAGAAGGTGAAAATCCCATACATCTCACATCATCGTTAACTAAACCTGAGGAGTGGTGTTTTTTAATAAAAAAAAAAACGGGTGAAACCGCAGCAAAAATATTTTTAGAACCCTTTCTTTAGTGACCTAACATTCATTACTGATAAGAAGAGAGGGATGAAAGCAGTTCGTCACGGTAAAGCACTCTACCAGAGATTAATAGGTCATTTTCATCTAACAACTTCCATTGTAGGAACATTGTTTGTTAGGGAATTTTATGAGTTCCACATCAAGACAACTTCAAACTATGAGAAAGGTGTTTCAAAGGTATAGCAATTCTAGGAAAAGAAAAAGGCGAATCAGAGAAGTATATCGTTCACCACTATTTAACCTGTGATGTATTCGTCTGACGGAAACATCGTCGCGTTTCATCTCTAAAAAATAAGACTTAATGAACACCTAACCTAAAATATCGTATGTGCTTTAGGCACAACTTTTACTGTAAAGGAGTCTTGATTTCGAAGAATTATAGTACATCAATCTCAAAAGAGTGATGAATGCTGTAACTTGGGTTTTACGTCGAAATGGACCTCTGTGCGAAGTCAGATTCCCAAAACAGCATGCAATGCCTCATCCATTACCTACTGATTCATAGAAGAAATTGAGAATACTTAATCGAAGGACAAACCAACTAACTCATTAAAACCCTCAATTTGACATAGGAGGGCATCAGGTGGGTGCAACACACACAGAGAAACCCCACATACAGATCGGTTTCCACATAATCAAGAAATCCCATATCACCACAGAATACCTTCAATAAAGTACCTTCAAAATACCAATTATTAATTTCACACTTTATCAGTTTAAACACCGATTGAGTTTAAAGTAATAAAACAGATGTAAAATGTTAACAGTCTGGGAATAATAGCACTACCTTTTGAGCATATCCTTTGTGGATTATGATATTCTATTTCCTCGAGACTCGGACGACGAAGCACAAGCAAACAAACTCAATATGAGCAAAAACTGTTGAGATGATAAGCTAGATTTCAGAGGGGTGACGATTTACCTGCAGAAGGTAGCGATGATTTCTGGCAATCGGCAGGGTGTGATTTGAGGCCAGCGGGGGACGTAGTCAGAGATTTCGACGGAGGAGAGGAGCTCTTCCACGGGACCAAAAAAGAGGACGGCGGGCGAGCGCTCGCGGTTGTGCACGATTCGGATAAGACGAGTAGTGTTGTCGGGTTGTGTAGGCACCAGGCAGGCCGCCCACGCGCTTTCACCGACCCCTGCCACACCCATGGGTCCGCCGGCCCCTGCGACCCGGCCACAGTCCGATGGCACACTGCACGCCTCCTTCTCTGTCACTGCCCTTGCAGGCAAACAGGCTTGTCGTGGCCTCTACAAAGCACATCAGTTGCTCTCCCCTCTTCGGTTCAACAGTGAAAAATGGATGACGGCGGAAGGAACCCTGCATGGTTGCTAAAGCTACCTTTCGTGTTTTTAAAAACATCTAAATCGAAACTGAAGGAAGCATCAAGGCTAGAGAAGATGGCATGAGCGTGATTAATAAGGACAATAAGAATCATTTGAAAAATCCACATACACGCGTTTATGCAGTGCTGAGATGGTTGTTGCGATGCCTCAGGTCAATTGCTCGTTTTTTGCCACAATAACAAATGATTTTCATCAGCATTAGCAAACAATGAGAGCAGTTGTTTGTTCTTACATAAAATGAAATTCCCATTCAATTTTCGAATAATTAGTGTGAAAAGACATCGAAGTGAACTGAGGAGCAAACTATTTCCTGGCATGAACGTCTCTTCAATACTAAATAATCTTTCAACAAACTGACTAACTCGAAAAGAGCAACCAAGTTTTGAGACATTCTTTTGGTCGTTAGTTTGGGTTAGTGTACAATCATTTGGTGAGGCAATTTATTTCGTCTTGATGATGATTACCAATTATGAAAAACGAAGGGCAGGAATCAAAGGCACCGATATCGCCACTACCACCGGCAGCATCACTCGGTATGTCATGGGAGGAAGGCTTCATAGGCTACTGCCGGCGCTGTGCCGGTTCAGAGCTACGTATCACGTTTAGTCGCCAAAAGGGCTACTCTCAGATCTGACGGTCCAAATATTGTTTTCAAAATCACTCCGTCTAGTCCTAATTCCGTGCCTTTCATGAAACTCCCCTACTATCAATGGTTAGTATTATTTTGACCATGGTGCTGGAGTTAAAGAGCAGGTGCTTGCCGAAGCTACCAGAAGCGCATTTTTAACCCTTTCAAGTGCATGGAGATTTTCAGTTATTGATGCACGAAAACTGATTCTCTCAAACCATGCGCACGTAAGTGGGTTTTGTTATGAATACGATACATTATTGCATTTACAGTCTACATGCAAACGAAAACACGCGAATGGCTACGGGAGGATATCACACGGAGTGATCGACACTAAATGCCAAATAATTTGACTTACTTATCCAAAGAGATATGAAAATTGTTAGGAAATGCTCTGTCAAAAAATAAAGTGCTGTCAAAAAGTACTCACTTTCACTAGGTTTATCTTCATACCAAATCTAAAAATGGCCTACTGAAGCCAAAAACATTCTTGACAATTCTTCCCTGAATAACGAGCTGTTTCTCATTCAACCTCAATAATGCGCCACTGGTTTGATGATGATGAAGGCAGAAGATGAAGACCGCTAAACTACCTTTGCATTAATTCCACTGGCCATGTAGGTGAAGCAGAGGTGAGTGGAGGCGAGGTGAGAGGGACAGCAATCTTGAGAAGCGAGGCCAGGCAGAGCCGCCTCCTGTCCGTTGACAACGTTCTGTTGTTGATGCTGTGGCTGTTGCAGAGGCTGAAGAGGCACGACGGCAGCGAGGTGTCTAAGCCCCGGCGGGGCTGGCGGTGGATGCTGCCCGATGAAGCTGTTCGACACGCAGTAACCTGTCACTTTGGTGCTTGCCTCCTCCAGGCAACGAAACCATTCTGCTGGAGTGTTCACTGGACACGAATTCACTTGAGTTATCGCATCACCAAGGTGGAGACCCCTGGGGCCGGTGAATACTGAGTTCTGTGGAAAAGGCAAGATTTGGACTGATTGCTATCTAACCTTGGAGTTTAAAAGTGGAATAAATGCCTGTGGGCATCGAATTAATGGATTGTTTACAGTGTTAAATTGTATTTCTTGAACCACCTACGCCTTTTAGAATATTTAAAATGTGAAAAGTATTCTCTTTATAAAAACAAAGAATATAGTGCACCAGAACGAATTTGTGTTGACATCAATATGGGAAAATCTCTTTATGAGTTTCTGAACCCAAATACGTCATGTATTCAAAAATTTTACGATAAGGCACTTGAGCTATACCTTAAGCTGGTGAAGATCAGATCCCCATACTTTAAAGACATGTGACAGACGTTTTGTCATAAAGATATGCCACTATGCTAACTTTTCTTCGGTTTCCTGAATCCAAATTTAAAGATAGCAGCTCCAGAAGCTTTCTTAAGCTAAATATCAAAATAGCAAAGTTTTGCTGGATTTGGATATCGTGTTAATAACCTTTGCCTGGAGAATAACCTTCATGAGCCTGCTTAATGGATAGGATGCACATGCTTTTTATAACCAAATCACGAAAAAAACATCGGATAGTGAAAAGGATATGCCAAAACGGTGAACATATACAACCAAATCAATACCAGAACACAATATAGAGCATGTGAGTGTCCATGAGGGTGACATATCTGCAATCTTGTAATCATTAATTGACTGCTTTTCAGATGAGTGAAAAAAGCAAAAACTATGCTCAAGTATCCAAAGGCTTTGCGACACAATGACCATAATTTTTAAACATTAAACTGTGATCCTGTGATTTATGCCATTGAGTGTGTGTGATCTGAAGGGCAGAACGACCTCACAAATTATCATGGGCAAAAAAATTCAGAGTAACTTGAAGAGTGGAACAATTTCACCAAGACTAAGAATGTGCCCAAAAGTGACTGAATAATGTTCTGATATGCTTTCTATGGGGATTGAGAGAACATGACAGAGTACAAGATTTGCATACAAAGGATGTCTGATCAGTAACGGGAAGGTAAAATGAGCATAAAAGTACAGCTCATTCAGATACACAAAAGGACGACACAAAAAAATAAAAAGAAAGGATAACCATTAGAGGCAAGTAGGAACATAATAAGAGATTGCATGCAGCTTTATGTAAACTAGATATTGGACAAGCGAGCTCCAAAGATTTGAAGGGAGCGACAAAGTGCATTGCAGAGAGGAGGGCACATCAATTCGCGATTCGGTACTCGAGGCATTGCGGAGTTTATCGTACGAATGGTGACAGTGGGAAATATTTCAATATCATTGAAGCAGTGTGGTGAAAACTCAAACCAAAGGATCTGGAGGTTCTCGGAACTGCCTTGGGCAATAGAAATTGGCAAGATCTAGTCAAAGCTATGGAAACGTAATGCAAACTAAACTAGAGTTATGTAGCTTTATTTTATTCTGCTGCAATGAAGAATAGACACCCTAAATAGCACAATGAAGAACATAAAGAAATGGTAAATGAGCACCCAAACTGCAGAGTAAAGCATTCTTTCTTGACTATTTACTCCCCTTTCGTTAAATCGGGACCTTAAAACAAATGAATGCAGGCAAGACAGTTAACTCGGACATTTATGTAGACATAGACACCGCTGTGAATGTCCTCCCGAAAGGGAAGCTCAAATTGTACCTTTCAAACTCCATTTCTCTAAAAAAAAGATATGCAAATAAACCTAAGATACAACAATGAGACAAACGAAGCCTGGTTCGTGTTTTACGTAGGTAATAAACAGGGGTACTTTAAAACGAAAACGGCTAAATCAGGCGTGCCCAACTATTTGGAGTGAATTTAAAACAAAGATCCCCTCTCCTTAATGTGAATAGTGATGGGAAGACCTTTCTAACCGGTGCCTCTTACAAAGTGTGTTGACTACTAAAGGACTATCACGGAGACAGTGGACGACTTATCAAGACAAGTAGAGGAGTAGTAAAAACGTTTAACGGAACTTTCATGTTTGGTCCAAAGTTCACTAGTAGCACCGTTGTCCAAAAAACAGGCTATCTTACCAGGTTAAAACTACCCCAAAAAAAGTGGGGATAAAATGCACTTTAACGTAGATGTAGCCAACTCCAAGTTTATCAACATGAGATTTAAGGAATTCGCGAAATTTGATGCCATTGCAAATGGGAAATTGAGGATTCCACCAAGTCGCTGCGATGCTGTAATTGCTAAGCATATAACAAGTGAAATGCAAAGTGGACTGAAGAAGAAAGGTTGCATTTGAAGTGTAATTACTAACGTGTACTGATACCATCCAATGGCCAAATCATTTACAACTAATCGGCGCGCTAAGCTGACATTATAACCGAAAGACTCACTTTTTGTAAATTGACGATGCCAACGCCCTGGTTCATCACATAGGCTGGACTAAGAATCCAGGGGAGAGCGTAAAAACAAATAATGCTCAAAACGACAATCACGCCATTATGCCAAACGCCAGCCGAATAAATTTTCAACTGTCGTATCGGTGAAAGACTGTTCAAATCAGCGTCACTAATATCCACATAGGCGCCAGGATAAATTCCAATGAGAAAGAAGCCGAACCCATGAATTCTAACACGCTCATGAAGTGCCGCCAGCGCATGACCAGCCTCGTGAAGAACCACACACACAAGGAGCGTCAGCAAATAAAAACCAAGTTGACTCATCGGCAAATTAACTCCAGGCATCTAAAACTAATGTAAAAAAGGGTTTGAATAAACATACCACCGGGGTTATGACCTGCTGTTCTATAGGTTTGCGCATGGTCGTGTTGTAGGCAAGAAAGAACAATATCACGACACTTAAGACCATGAACACTGCTGAAAAAGCAGTGCCAGCAAAAAACCATAGATTCCAAGGAAACCAACGAACTTCACCAATCCGCTCAAATAAAGGGTTTAACTTCTGGGTGAAGAATCTCGCTTGCAAAACCTGTATGGAAATGCCCGAATTCTCGCGAAGTTCTAAGTATTTCTGGCGTGTGTATGGGTGATTCGATAACCCCGCATCGAGGAGGTAAGCAAGTACCCAAAACCCAAAAAAGTATGAGATTGTAGAGCTGGATATCATGGCTACAAATATCGCTAGCACATAACCTTTGTCAATTCATTCCTAAGACCACAGAATAGCAAGCACGACCCACAACAAGGCTAATTCCTAAAAACTAAGGCTTCCGGAGTTCAAAATAGGTAACTTAAACAACAATCTAAATACATTTACGAAATTTTATTCACTTTTTCCGTTTTCTGTTGCAAAGGGCGATTATTTGCTTATAGCTTAAAACCCCGTACCTCTCCTCAGATTCAAATTCAAAGAGTTAGTTTGGGAATTTCGTGCTTTTAGTATTTCCGTTTATTTCACAGTCTACTTTCGGTTTCGGCCCCTGGAGAACGACGATTGGTTAAGTGACAATTTTCTGAAGATGCGGAATTTTAATATGAATAATACTTAATGGGGGATAATTGTTTGCCTCCGCATTAGGGATCCACGTCTCCTCTAAATGGCGGAGTTGGTCCAATCTCCCCGCTTGCCACTCAGAGGATCTGTTCACGCAAATATGTACCATACTGTCTCGTCCACACTAGCCAGACAAAATGGTATAAATCATTAATACCACATCCTTGAGTCAACTTCCTATCGATCCCCTTTAATTAATTAGTAGAACTCCCTTTATGCTGTCGCATACGGCCTCGTACGTGAAAGATCAATTGTGAATTCAGCACGAACTGAGGTGTATTAAGGGGTAGAATTATTCCCATTTAAACAAGTTTAGTGTTATTCATTTACACCCACCGAACGTGGTATATTTTTTTTGAAATTGTTTCCAACCTTAGCACAATTTTAGACTCCGCTCACCTTTGCCATGCAAAGAGACTTCTTTCCTATGAGTTTTTTTGGCACTGTAATTTACTCAAACTTAGTCCCCAATTTCTAAAGTTTGGTGTTTCATGTCCAACTCTTCCTCTCCTAACCATCTTGTTTGCACAGATCTAGTTTTTTGTTTGCGTTCTTCTTGTTCAAGTTTTAGTTTAAATAAACAGCAACAAACATATCTCCCTCCTATACAGATACTTTTGGTTTCCAAAAAGATAATTGTAAATGAGACTAACCTGATTTCAGGTTTCGGTTTCGTCTCAGATGGAAATATATGTTCCCGATCAGTTATCTTTTCCATTGTAATACGATGGTGGTTTGTCCCTCTCTGTTGGTGAGGCGCCACTTTTGTACTTGGAATTAGCCCCCTTATACATCTCTGGGTGGGCTGGTCTTCGGGCCATGCCAATAGCTCAGACACCTTCTTTGTGCTGAATATATATGCTGCCCGAGTATTGTGTCTTCTTGCGTCTTCAGGGAAGTCTCGGGATGCTACACCATAGTTTGGCAAATGCGAATATGTTTTAAAATGTTCCACCAAACGTAAAAGCTAGGAAGGAAGTACCTTTTTTCCTAAAATGCATATGAAGACATTATAATCCCCCATTAAAGGTGTGAAGTATATTTTGAAACCATTAATTCAAAATCGTTAGCATGTTTGGTCCGGGAACTTCAAATACCTATCCATCATTTTTTACTACTGACTACATTTACGGCATTTTTAAAGAGAGAATAAAAGCTGGCGTTGGTGCTGTGGCTCCCCGACACTTGCCTGAAGTTGAAGGGAGACAGGATGCTTAAGTATCATATGTCTTGCCGACGTGGAGAAGGACTGGAGGCTTCCGTCGCGGCCCAGGGGATTTGGCACTAGGTAGCACTACAAAATCGGAGCTTTGAAGTGCCTTTGAAACCAAACCTAAGCGTTAAGCTAATAGCCATAATAGTTTAATGCAAGTGTAACGACAGAAGTTGTCTGTTCTTGTAACTATTATAAATATTTGAAATCTGAACTAGGATTTTAGTTAATCGGTGGACTTTTAAACTATGTAGATATCCCACGTGGTTGGTAAATACTGTATGACCGGTTATCATCGCAATAGTGGGTGCAAGGTGGGTGTTAATTATGAGCAGCTAAAGGAAACAAAGGACAACAATGATTATGTGGCATATCATGCCAAGTTGTCAGGTTGTGTAACATCGGCAACTCTGTACCGCCAACTGGAAAATCTTGACGGAGCTACAAAACTTGCACCATGTATTAATTCTAAAATGATCCCGAAGATCTTCAACAATTCATGTAGAACACCGCCACCTCGTTAATCAGCGACAGTCACATCCTCAATTAGGGTGGATTTTTTATAAGCTGACATATTTAGTATTTCAAACAAAAAATGACCTCCAGAAACAATTTATATGAATAAATAGTAAAAACAGACGGGTGTGACAAAATCCACCGTTGTTTATACATGTTTGTAGCTAGCGGACTGTCATGAGGTAAGGCCGTGCAATGCGATAGATTTGCATCGTAAAGTGTACACTCGTAAAAAATCATGCGTCGTAAGGCGTCAGCACTCTGGCTGCTTACATTGCGATCTGATACCCTTTTGCATTTCTTATAGAAGGCTAAGCCACTTAGCGTAGGTACCAAATTACTAACAATTTGCGAGGGGAATAAATGCGGTGTAGATAACCTCAAGACAGAGGAAAAGGCGGACATTTCGTACGCCACTAAATACTTTGTAATTCAACTAAAATCAACCCTTAAAGCGTCACATTCCTTTGCTACTAAAATATCAAAACACTTTTAGGGGCTTGTCTACGAAAATAGACGGAAATCTACTCTAACTAATCCGCTCTTAGAAAACATTGTGTGATCTATGGGCATTGCCAGTTCCATTTAAAACGACCTTATTACTATCATTTACTTGAGAATTTATTTAATGTTCGTCTTCATTTCCCATGCAATCAGTCCTTTTAGTTCAGAAATCCTAAAGTTGAATAAACAGTAGCTGAAGCATTGTTTTAAGTTTTACTCCCTTGACATAAAAATGGTTACAAATATGCTAGCGGAAGCACTACATTATGGATTTTTAAAATTACCCTGTGTTTTTGGCACAGGGCTTTTATTCTCCATCAGAGGTGTCGCTTTAGCGGACAAAGCTTCCTGTGTACTGCGTGAAGTTGGAGCGCAGCCTACGAAACGCCTAACTCGTTGGCAAGGTCTGTTTGGACAAGCGTCTTACCCGTTCCCATAATAAAAAGTGGTGACTTGGTTATGTCATGCCTGCTCCATCCAACCGGAAAAATATGTCAGTGGCCAACAAATCAGTAAAGTGAATCGCTTCGTTGGCAGTATTAGCAATAACACACGTTAAGTGTCCTTCATGGCAAACAGTGCTGTTTAATGATTTCTAGTAGGAAAAAGTCATAATGTACCAAAACGAGCCCCTCGAAACACCACTTTTAAAATGCAGGGGCCAAAAAAGCCTCCATATATTCTAGAAAAAGCATTCATCCAGTATTCCCCCAATATGATTGCCCTTAAAAGTATTTAGCACTTCATAATATAAAGCGTGTATTTGTATTCATTAACACGAGGCACCTCCATGATTTGATACAGATCTGATGCACTAATTTTGTATCGGTCTGACAAAATCATCCATACCGGTGCGGAACTAATAAATACAGGCGCAAGAGAACCTTGCCAAACTTTGTCATCACTCTTTAAAAAGAAACTGTGACTTTTAATGGCCTGCGAATTAATTTATTGGGAGATTCAATTAGAATTATTTAGTAAAAAATTCAAGCAATTCGTCAATATCAAGCTCTCCATCATTGTCTTTGTCATGACGAGCAATAAAGGCTTTCAACTCTTCGTGCGTCACTTCATCACCAAACACGGCCATCAGCTCTCCCGCGCTGACCTTGCCCGACTTGTCGTGATCCAGGGACTGGAGAAGTTTCAAGACTTCCGCGCGGCTAAGGGAGAGAGATGGGAATGTGGTCTCACGGGTGCAAAAACCTACCTTCGTGTGGTTTTCATGCTAGCGTTCAGTTGGGAGTGTGCTGGGCTTCACTGAAGTGATTGTTTATATATTCTACGTGTAACCGGCTGGGCCTAGTGTACTGAGGCCGAACAATTCAAAACGCGTCCAGTTCAAGTGACAGCTCTGATTGGCTCCCGTCCGGCACAAATCGTGGTGAACGGAGTTGAGTGCGTTATCATGTACCAAACACACAGCTCCTCTGAAAATTAACAAGCAACATTGGTGAAGGTGTGTGTCCAAAAAGGCACAAATGGCACTTGAAAGAAGTATCAACTCAATTCCAAAGTGATATAAAGCGGCGGACTGTTCAACGAGTCACTGTCTTCTCTTCTACAATCCTTCTCAACTTAGCATAATATGTAAATAAATTGTGCACTTAAATTCAACCCAATATTTCAACTTTACATTTTTTTGGGTTTGATGTTAAGATTAATTAATTTGATTTTAATTAAATTAACTGGAAGCCATGACAACACGTTGGAGGATTTAAAACAGATCTGCTGAAAGTGGTCAGAAAATAACAAAATTATGAATAGCACTTACCTGTGTGGTCCTCGATACCTAATGCGTTCTGTGTACAAAGGATTGAATAGGGTATCTAAGCCGCACGACCATGTGGTATTAAAAAAACAACGTTCAAAATATTGAAATTGTTCTGCAAAATCTAGTGGGGAATTAACGATAAAAAGGGAAATGAGGAGAATTGTATTTCAGTTTCGGCATTAACCAAATTCCATACTTTTAAACCTGTTGCTTACTGAAGGTGGCACAACAGTGGGCGGAATCTTTAATCCGCTAGGAACGCCGCGAAAGCGATGTTGTGGTTGTAAGACAGTTGATCGTTGACACGACGCAAAACTTGAAACATTAAATGACGGAAGTTGTTGCGTCGCCACGGCCAGTTACTCCAAGTTCTATAGCAGCAAAACAGGTTTAGGGCATAAAAGACAGTCTATTAAGTGATTCAAACGAGGAAAAAGGGTTGTATCGGATATAACTTGTGAGAAGGAAATGAGTTTTTTTTAGCTGCTTAAAAATCCTTTCAAAAAAAATCAATTCGACCTTACTTTTTTGCATTAGACTGAAAAAAATGGTACCAAACTAAGGTGAAATTCACATCTTACTCAGGAAAATTGCTCCAGCAAATGCCGAGGAATGAACTTTGGCATCCAGGCCGTGCATAACAGCAACTGAATCAAAGTAATGCAATGAAGCTCATGGCTCACATATACCTTGATCAGCCTGCCATCAGCGCCGAGAAACATTTCCTCAATGTTAAAGGATTTATTTTTGTTAGGAGGAGTTTTTGGTGATGATACAATCCATAAATTGGAGTCCTGGGTCCAGGTTGCTTATTCGGAACCTGCAGTGTCAGAATAAGTCGCTACGTATGGATGCAATACAGCCCTTGCATTGTTTATATCCACAATAAGCATTGGGAGGAGCCTGAATTCCAGTCACACGATATAGAGTCTTACAACTTTGAGAATGCAGAAAGGAATCGTTGATCTACTTGGCTGTAAACCCCATTCCAATCCCATTTGTAGAAGTGGATGATGTGCTTTCCCACCTATGATTCTCAATGAAAAACTAGACGGAATTAACATATCGATGTTGGGGTAGGCAAGGCACTTTTAGTCTTAAAAGGGGTCCGCCTGCCTCTCTGGCTTTACAATCAGGCCACGGGAGCCACTCAATGTACTTCTGTGTTTATCACAGCTTTCATCTTTAGGGGACTTTCACAAATTTCTACTTATCTAAAACTGCTCATTAGATAGAGAGCTTCCACATTTCTTGTAATGTAAACACTGCTTTCACATAACAAAGTCACAGCCAAAAGGAAACATTTTCCAGCAAGGTTACCGTTTCCGATAAGCTAATGAGCGTAAATCGCATTGGCTTGGGGCCTACGGTAATTTTCGACTGGCAAATTGTAATATTTCCTGTTACGCTAAGGGAAATGCTTAATAGCGTAATGCGGGTGACCCCCCCAATCCTAAGTTCAATTAAACTACAGAAGGGAGAAAACTGCCACTGATGTGAAGTTGCAGGTCTTTCCTGAAGTCGATAGAATTCGTAATGCTAGGACATGATATGCATTGTCGACATACAGAATTGCTAAAGGGCAACTAGCAGGAGCTGAAGATCACGCATCTTAGCGAGAAAAAATGCACAAATTATTAATTTATTGCACTAGGAAACGGACCACTTTCGTAAATTAACAAGAACAAGTTTGTTTAAAGTGCATCACTGTAGAGGCTCAAGACTTCCCTGAAGACGAAAGAAGACACAATGCTGGGGCAGAATATATATTCGGCATAGAGAAGGCGTTTGGGCTACTGGCATGGCTCGAGGGCCAGCCCACCCAGCCAGTTACAAGCAGGCAAATTACAAAATTACAAACAAAATGCTGTACATTAAAAAATAATTATGCTCTTTTCTAGGATAATACAATTTCATCGAAGTTATGTTGGCGCAAAACTGAAAAAATTTTGACAAGATTACGTCTAAGACCTACGGTACGCAATTGCACCACAATTAAAGCAAAACAGCAATTTTACTGGTAATACATCTGTATACCCTACAGTACTAAAAAAGCCTAGTGCTTACTAGGTCCTATTTTATTTGTTCGCTGAAAATGACCTACAAATAAATACCGCTAAACTTACATGCGCTAGCCGCAGAGGTATAGTAATCGTTTTCATTACCAAAAGTGTTTGAAAACCTCAGCTTGCCTTGTGTTTCATAATTTTAAAAATCGCCAAAAGCTTTGATCTTTTTTGAAGTTTTTTGCTTTTGTTTTTCGTGGCTTTTAAATTGACTTCCGATTTTGAACATAACACTCACAATTCTACCATCATATACTATAAGCTACTTAGTCAAACACCTATATGCCTAAAAACAGTCTCCAAAGGAAGCTTTTACATGCCTTTGCTCTTTTTATGATAAAATTATGTTTTTTAAATGCTCTTTAAATCGCAAAACAAATATACATGAAAGTATTTAAAGTCAAAGACATTATTGTATTTTACAAGTGTAAGTTGTATTAAAACTTTAGATTAGCTAGCAATCAGGTGAAAACTGATGCGCATCAACATGTTATTCTTTACATAGAATTATTTGTGAAAATCGAATGGACATGTTCACACCTAACCTCCCCGGACGAGAAAATGTAAAGTAACTAATAATCCATGCATCTTAAAGCCTCAGTAATAATTGCTTTGCTAACCATTTTAGTCCGCATTCATCTGCGCTGCTTATCGAACACTATAATTTAATTTTTTAAAGAAGCCTTATAATTCTTGCAGCTTCCTGGGTTTCGCAGTGCTCGTGAATCAGGGGCTTTTAAATCACCTTCGTCAAACAGATCACCATCTGAATCTACTACCCAGGGTATGCAAGAAACCTCCAGGCATAACGAATGGAATTTGAGTCTATATAGCACATGGAACGGAAGGGAAAGTCGTCTTCCTCAACCACATCGCACAAATTACAATGGTACAGTCGAAAAGGGAAGTACTTTGCCTAAAGATATTCAGGTTAACGGTGAGCAAACCCCTCTTCCCCGTGCACGCAATTCCAACGCCTTATCATCTAGCTCACACCCCTCAGCAAAACCAAGATTCTGGACTCCCCGAGTTGAACCCTCTCCAGAAAAAATAAGCAATGAAACATTTGTTGGCAAAGGACTGTATGACAAATTTTTGGCCTCATTTCGAAGAAAAAAGATTCAAAAAGCTGCATCTGCACCTGTCTCTGTCAAAAAAGTGGCGAGTGTCTCTGAAAAACCGCCCAAACCCATTTCAGAGAGTGTTACAGCACGTATTTTGCTTCTGGATGGTGAAGAAGTCTCAATGAGGTTGAGTAAGCGAGCCCTTGGTCTAGAATTGCTTGAACGTATCTGCGATGGCCAAGACATTATCGAAACTGATTACTTTGGAATCACATACACAGACAAGAAGCTTGGAACATGGGTATGTGTTTGGTGCTAAAATATGCATGCGCTGTTGAAAAAGTTTAACAAACCTACGTACTGTGTGGCAAATGAAGAATATTCGTTCGGGTCCGAAAACTTTACGTTAAACACTACAAGTAGGAGATGTTTTTTCGAAGGTGACAGATGAGGAAAATGTTCTTGTTCTCATATTGAAATGCAAATTATAGGGTTATGAAATCAAACTTTTTAAGACCACTGTAATTAATTTAACCATCCTATATATTGCCTACTTATTTTTCATTACCGAGGATAATACAGTTGTCTTTTAATTTTAGTTTTGGCTGGATGTTGATAAAAAAATTATTAAACAAGTTACAAGTAAGTAATTCTTAAACAATAGTTTACTTTTGCTGAAAAAAACTTTGCTAGTTTCCAGCATAACTGTGTCATTTTCCTTCACGTCCATTCATAACAGATTTCGTGCATGCATAGATGACTACTCAGTTGCTTTTAAATCAGATTTGGGTTGTGAAACTTACTTCCTTCTACTACAGTACCACTTGTGTTAGGGCATAGGCTACTAAGTGTCTAAAACTATTAATATTCTTCTACTGCTTTATAGAAAATACAAAATTAGTGGACCACTCTATACAAGTTTACCAATAATCGAGTCAATTTTACCAACACCATGCTCTGTGAACTTTGATGCTGGTCAGCAGTCGACATGAAGTCAGACGCCGTTTGTTTATGCGAATTTGATCCTTTAGATGTAGCAGATTGGCAATTCTATTTCCAAGTGAAGTTTTACCCGCCAGAGCCGACGATGCTACAAGACGAGACTACGCGATATCAGTTAGTGCTGCAGGTGCGACAAGACGTCTACACGGGCAAGCTGCCCTGCTCCTGGGTCACACAGGCCCTACTCGGCTCCTTCCTTGCGCAGTCGGAGCTGGGGGACTACGATTCCACAGCCCAGGGACCCGGGATCGACTACCTCAGACAGCTTGAGTTCGTTCGAAGTCCTACCGATCAGTTACTCCAGAAGATTTTGGAACTGCACAAGACCCACAAGTGAGTTGTCTGGAGTGGGCGCAGAAGCTACGGGTGTGAAATGTAAAGATATCTTTAAAGAGAAAAGGATTATTTTTTCAGCGGTAATTCTTTTGCCGACAAATTATCGGCATTTAGCATTCACTCCGCAGGGGAAACACTTTCTCAGTTAAACAAAGCACAGCGACTCTCCTAGGGCCTTAATCCTGCCTTTAGACTTACCGAACTCATTTGCACAAAAAGAAAGTTATGTACAAGATGTGGGTAAATGCTCGTTTTCCTAGCATTGTTGAATTACCAAATCCACATTTTAGATCCTTCATTAATATTTTAGAACAATTAAATTATCTTTAAAAATGAAATGGTATTATGCCTTTTGTTGCAAACCAGCTGGTGAGTGAAATCATCTGAACTATTTTGTCCATTTAAAAATGTCTAAGAACAGAAAAATAATAATAGTTATGGTGTGGATTGGAATGCTCCCAGCAAAACTTGACTTCGTTTGTTATCTTGGAGCATGAAAGGCTGTTGCCAATAGTATAGTGACAAGTTTTTATGAAATTTGTTGATTAGCATGTATTTGTTAGTATTTCATTGACCTGCATCGGTTAATGAGAGTCAGAGCTGCGATATGCTTTATTAAGTTGGTCTTGCATAATGTGTCGATTTTTCTTTGTCTTGGCATCACGTGACTCAATCGCAACCTAGTTTTCTCCACTCTTATGAGATTGGAAGCCGTTAACGCTCTACACAACACCTTTAACAATATTCTTCCCATACTGTGGACTTCAAATTACTAGCTGGTTCAAAATCAACTAGTTCGCGAGCGATACTTATGCCTACATAACGATATCTTGTCCTAAATCACAAATAACTACCTTCTATGCGATCCGCCACAGCATAAGCCTATTAAAAAATAACAAAAGTGTTTAAGGCGTCAATGCATGGATCCGGTGTTTGTGATGGAAACAGCCCAAACACATTCATACTGATTGAGCAGGCACCTTTGCCAACGTTCTTGGGGCGCGTATGGCATAAGTCGCCTCCAAGACGCCACTCGGTTACTGACATGCGCACGCCCCGGCGCATCGGTGGGCCTTTGATTCACGTGAAATCGGCGTCCTCTTGCGCATAACGGTGGCGAGGAGTTAAACTATAATTTGCTTCTTAGTCACCTAAATGCATATGCTTACACATTTACTACAAACTTTGCGTGTTCAGTTAATTGGACTGAATGCTTAAAGTAGACAGTTGAGGTTGTTCATAACACTTATCCAGGCCCCCTTACAAATGACCCATTATGGTCATACATGCAATGAGTTTACACTGAAATTCACAAAGCATGGCTTCTCGTAAATTTACAGCTTGTTTTTAGACACTCAGTGTGTACTGCAATTATACACTATTCATAGCTTGGGAGCCTAGTTTTGGTCGTGCATTTCTTCGCTTAATATTTTGCCCGCATACTCAAGCCAGTCGTCTCCTCCTGATGCATCCCTATTAACACCGACCCACCTCAGCTGCTTTGCGGTTGAACTTTGACCACATGCATGTGAGAAGTTCCGGTGCTTGTGAATTGTGACACCCACCGGTTGGAGGAAATGCCGAACTGTCAACATAAGGGTCGTAGTGCAATACAGTGCCACAAGTAATGCGATATTTCGAACATTTCAAGGGTCTTAACCGTCACGGAATGAGAAAAGTGCTAATTCCTGGCATCAAGTCAGGCTGGAGCATTTAATTCCCTTCTGGTGTTTTTGTAGCAAGATAAGCTTAAGCAATATTTTAATAATGCTTATAGAATGGTTTTCAATCAATAGGTAACCCCAAGGAGGAATATGGAGCTTAGGTATCCTCTCAGCACACATATTTAATCAATGTTTATCGGTGGTCCTCAAAAATGAGACAAAATAAAAAGATGTAAATCTTGATCACCCTTTGGTTCACTTATTTTGCTTCGTTATTAATGCCCTTTTAATGATGCCAGTGAAGATAATGCGTTCAAGATACCTGTAAACATCTTTGAGTCTTCTTTTGGGCAACCCAAACATGCTGCAACAACTACTACGTAAAAACAAAAACAGAGCGCCAACTTGAGTTTAAAGTAAAGTGTCAAGTGTTTGCGGTTTTTTTTCTCTCCGCTCAAGAGGCATGAGACCAGGGCAAGCAGACATAAAGTACCTTGAGACCGCGAAGCGATTGGATCTCTATGGTTTGGATCTTCATCCCGCACGGGATATGGAGAATGTGGAAATCTACATCGGTGTAGGGTACAGTGGCATCGTCGTTTATCGCGACCGTGTCCGGATAGGCCGATTTGCCTGGCCGAAAGTTCTGCGAATATCCTATAAGAAAAACTACTTCTACCTAAAGATTCGCCCTGACTATGCAAGTTTGTTTGCGCTTAAAACTAGTTTCAAAATGCTTTGGCCATTTGTTTAAAAGGCTGGTTAGTTATTTAGCGGACCCTGGTATACTTATGAAAATTTTTGAGAAATGCATAAAAAGTGCATAATTTTGGCTAACAATGTAAGTTACATACATGCGTTGAAAGCTCAACCATCACAAAATTAGTAAACCAAGCAAGCTTATAATAAATGTCTTTATTTTGCAAACTTGTGAAGGATTATTGGCTGACCACCGGCCAATTTATTTTGCAGCCTGTTTATAGTCTAGTTTAAGAAACTACTTTTGCATTTTGCATTCAACAGGCGTGGGAGTTTAAGACGCTTAACTTAGGGGTCGGTAGGGCTAGACCTACGGTGCAGCTAGAGTTTAGAGACTAATCTCAAAAGTCCATTCAGAAGACCTCAGCTTAATTTAGAAGGGTGCACCGTATTTGGCTAAATAATACCTCATCCTAAATGTATGAACCGATTGTAAATTCTTGAACTGTAAAATACGAAGTAGCATAACCAATTGTGATACTTCCGGAATTATAGCAAATGTGCTCAGTTAAGGAGTTCATTAAGCATTAAGGGCGTAAAGTTGTTTGAGATTGGAGCTTCGGTGACGGCTAAATCTTCGCTTGTCAACTACAGTATAAAGTGAATTTTGGTAAAATATTCCAGCCTTTGAATGAGAAATGAGTCAATGAGTCTGGATGCCTCTAGCAACTTCTGCCATTTACAAAGTACAACACCTAACAACTCACATCTATTCGTCCAGTACCGACCGTCCGAATTGACGGGTTCATGTGGAAGTGCCGCATAAACCGGATGGGCGAATACGATTATGGATAATTCATTTAAGAATAATGCCCTTGCAGATGAGAAAATACAGAATTTCTTAATGAAACAAAGTATGAATGGTTCAATATTCACTATTAAATCATAATGGAACAGTGATGTTAATATACAACATGCTTATCCCCAAAGATTATATGCCATATCTTCTGGATTGTTATGGTAGTCTTGTCTCAAATGGATAATAATATCCTATAAGTGAAGAGCAGGTATAAAAATGAAGAGTAGTTTGTTCTACCTGCGCCGCAATATGTCTAAATGTTTGCACTGAAATTCATTTGAGCTAGTGCATTTGTCTCTGTTAAATAAATAAAATCGGGATTATGAGTTTGATGGGACTAATTTTGATAACGACTACGATCTAGACGGAGCCGGAAGAGGCAGTAGTGGGTTTTCTGATGCTGAATCCTCAACTGGCGAAGCGACTCTGGAAGACAGCAGTGGAGCACCACACCTTCTTCCGACTGAAGGAGCCGCGCCCGCCGAAGCGAGGTCCAATTGGCTTCTTGGGCGGGTCCTCACGATTTCAGTACTCGGGCAAAACCTTCTTCCAGTACCGCACCACCCAAATCGATCACCCTAAAGCGATGGCGGATGATGCCCTTGATGAGGGTCTGCGACCGTCACATCATCGAACTGCCAGTGTTCCTGTCGCCCTCAATCGTGGTACATTCCCCTCTTCTTTTATCCTAAGAGTTGTACACTTCCACTTCTTTCGTTGCACAAGAGCCTATCTTTACAGTGGCGCTGCATAATAGTTAACATCTAGAATTGAGATTGGCGCGTCCAAATCACTTGCAAATAATGTATAATGGCCGCAAAAAGAACTCGTGTCTGAGTAAAACAATCTAACTCACTGATTGCTCTCTCTCTAAGTTTGGGAGCTGATATCGACATCCTGGTGTTTCACTCTGCAGTGACCATCAGCCCATTGTTGTTTCCTGTTGGAAAGAATGGAAGTGGCACAGTTGAGGTACGTCGCAAAGGTAGAGTAGTGAATCTGACAGATTTCTGTTAAGTTCATGTCAAGAGACCTATTTGAGAGTATAAACGAACCAATTGATGCTGTCCTCCAGCAAACGCATTTTACTGATTTAGCTAATTATCAGCTCTCCATCCCAGTCGTATATGGCCCACATTGGAAGTAGTTGTGAAAAAAAAATTTTTAGCTGTTTTTATGGGAAGTCAGGAACGGTGGACCAGCTCATTGGAAGTGAATTCTTTGCTGATTTTCGTAAAGCTTTTGTGACTGTTTTGGAAAATGACTTTTAAAGTTTTTCGATAAAAAAACACTATTAATCATACGACGAAAACTAATTTAACCTAATATGTTCTGAGCAATAGCAACAATAATCCCATTGTAATAACATTTACTCCTATTTTCGATAAAATCCCTTGCATTTTCATGAAGAAGTGTTAATTTGTTATGAGTAACAGTATGAACTGCTACCTATTAGCCCTTTTCCCTTTATTTAACAGCCAGATCTTAAATACCACTTCATTGGGACATTGGTATAAAGAAGAATTTTGAAGACGATAAAGTTTGCATTACTTTTGAATAACTAATTTCGCAAAGTTATACTGTTCTCATTACCTAGTTTGCCAATCATCCCGCAGTAATTTGGACAATAGCCCCGCTATGGCATTAACATGCAGCTCTTAGCGAAAAAATCCAAGCGATGGTATGGTTAGTAAGGTGTTATATATTTTGAAGTAACAATCCACCTAATTTGTGATTATATTACCCTTCCAGCTGGAATTCGTTACAACAGTGTACACTCGTTAAATCGCACTCATCCCCGAGATATGACCATAGGAAAGGCGCAAAGCAGTGACTACCTTGGCCCTACTATACAGGTAGTTTACTTTTTAATCCGTTAAAGTCGAAGCTGTTGCCCTTATTACCTTCCAAACCCGCATTATTTAAGCAAGCTCAACAGCCAATAAGGACTGAGACTTCAAGAGCGTCACCAATCCTATCAACACAGCGTCCGCCTCCATCTCAACCAATTGCAGGCACGCGCGTACCACCTCCGAAGCCGTTAAGTAGGAGGAATCAACGCCCACCTGCAGCACCGACTTACATCGACAATGACGGCTCGCTTTTTGATGCCGCCAGCTCAAGGGGCGAAGGATCCATTCTGGACTCGGGTATTCGCGGTGCGGACTATGAGGTTAGCCCTGAGTACTGACGCATAGTTAAAATCGTTTGTACCAGCAACACCAATTTGGGCTGAATTCTTGATTGAATGAATATTAGGCGTTCCCAAATTGAGGTGTAGGGTAAAGAAAGGCAATTTCATGGCTTGGTAGATGTAAATAACGGTGTTGTATAACTTCATTTTTTCGTGTAAACAAATATTAAATCAGTTGAAGATAAGTCTTAGGTAGTCTATAGAACCACTCAGGAAACATATTCCATGGACTGCTATTAAATGCCATGAGGTTTCTTGATGCAAAAAGGGAATTTAGTTTTAATATGGCAAACATTGAACGATCCATCGTCTTTCATATAGTAGCGACATCTATTCAAAATGAACCAACATTTTAATGCTAACTTAATGATATGGTTTAACGTTTTGAATGCATAGCACTCTAACTTGAGGATTTTTATTTAAAACACCCAACTCTTATCTAAAATTTAACGGAATAGCTATAACCGAACGAATTGGTTATTGTAAACCCTTTTCAGATACCGCGACAGTTGAGCGCAAATGAGTACTCCTCCTACGCTCAAGAACAAGAGGATCCGTTGATGTTTAGCAGCGGTGACTTTAGTGACGCAAACGACGTGAACGGTGCGGGAGGAGGCAGTGTAGCATGGTCCGCCTCAAACTCTTACAACCCACAGCCCTCGCAGGACTCCTGGGGGCTCCAGAACAACACTCCACCCTCTTCTCCTTCCCCCGTCATGCGCCCCTCCTATTCCTCCCGTGGTCGCGGCGAGCAACCGCAATACACCAACCTCGGCTACGATAATCCCTCCGACGCCTCGCCAACTCCATTGCGCCCTGTTCGACGCGCGGGACCTTATGCGGGACAGGTGAGCAAACTCAAGTCACTATTAAGAGCTACTTTGGTCATTTCAACAGAAACCATATTTGTGGCCTGTTTGAGTTTCAGTTTTTAGGTAAATCAGATTTGAGATTCAAAATAATGGAGGAGAGTGCCATACACCAATTTTGATTGCATATAAACAACCCCATTTTCCCTTCATGTTCTATCTGTTCTCGCAACATTCATCAAAGATCATCGATTTCGCGCTTATGAACCAGTCATAGTACTTTTAATAGTTTGAAAATTATTTTCCATTAGCTGGGATGTTTCTTTTTTTCAAAGAATTTATTTTTTTCGCCAAATTAAGGAACCCTTAAGATGATAATTTGTTCCGATCGCGTATCGTGAGTGTCCAAAGTTTACTTATCCGGCTGGTTAACCAGATGCTTCTTTGGCAAACTTAACGCACTAATCAACTTGCCCTCCCTTGCTTCTGGGTAAGTAACATGTCTTTGCCTTTCAGACCTTTAATGACCATCGACCACCTACTTCCAATGCGGATTTTCTCTAGCACCATTGGCTCAGCCCTCGGTGTGTTTGTAATTTCCGCCCACGTGATTGGACTAAAACTTTGCATTTGACAGAAAACTGCGATTTCCTACTCTTCCACAAGCATCAACATTTTCCTTTTTTCACCGTTAGCAAAGATTTGATTTCTTAAAAATTATTAGTGTCGGAGGCGGTGTAATGAAAGAACATTTGTCCATTACCGTCTAAGTGGCTTAGTGTTGATTAGTGGCTGGGTATTTCACAATACCGTATTTATTTAAGATTGTTTTCAATGGCAAGCATTAAAAAGAGCATAGCTGATAACGTTTTGTAATTAAGGCAGTAAGTTTGCATATATTCCTTCAATAATTTATAAACCGCTGTGAGTTGTGATGTCCGGGGAATTTTTGTAAAATGTTCTGATGGCCAATTAAGTCGACAGTTGAATGGATCTACGGAGGAGACTAAATACACTGCCCATCAAAAGGATCAGGTGTTGTACACATAGTACCATTAACATCAGCCCATAAGTGAGTGCTTGCATTACTGTCAACGTAAAATAAGAAATAAATGGTTCAAATACATCTGTCGTATTTCACAGACTTTTTGCGCCAAGACTTTTGAGCATTTCTTTTTATACCTGGTGAAAGGTAAGCTTGCATCAAGCAGCCTGCTTGCCATTTGTGCAGCGTACAGCAAATGGGCTCGGTAGGATTCGGGCAACTCAAGCATAGAACGGCCTGTTTATAACAGGGGCAACTTAGCCTTTACATTGAGCAGTTGATGCGTGAATAGCTACCGTCCGACCAGAATTTTTAAAACAAATTTATGCTAGGATGAGACTACTAACATTGGGACATTATGTTTCCTTAAATTCATAGACCTATTCCAACATTTAACCTATATATGCACAGATTTTTCGGGTTTGTTAAACCATTAATAAACGTTCTGTCTAACTTCGCCATCAGTGCAGATATTTTGACCTTAATTAATCTTTCGAGGTTTAAATAAAAGAAAATTATTTAAAATTAACTAGAAGACGGGAAAAGAAGGTGAAAGTGCCTTTCAGTAGAGTTGCTGCAGCGCCATTACCAAATCATCACTTTAACTCAGCGTGCCATTCAGCCATTCTGTGTTGGTCAAAAGTGGAAAATTTTCTTGGCAGCCAGCGCACGGTAACTTTTCCGAATGATTATGTCCACCTCTTCCATGCAAAGATTAGTCCCTCGTAAAATTTCACTCCAGACCTTGCATTATTCACCCAGGATTAGGTGTCTCATGCTCTGGCCAGTAGGATGGGAACCATTACGACTGGGGTAGTCAATGGTAGTGATATGACTGTGTCAAAAACTTTTACTCAACTCAACTGTCGTGTTCAAGGTAATATAGAAAATTTTTCCTGGCAATATCCAGAAGTTTTCTTCCTTCGTTCACAAAAATTTTCATGACTCACGGTGTTCCGTGCATGTGCTAACATTGTTGACTGCAATAATAGTTAGTGGTGATAGACTGCCTCAAGACGACATGTAGGCTGGTTTTTGGTAAGATGCCACACATGACAGTCTGCCTTTAACACTTCGTATAGCCATCAACTGGTGCAAGCATTCCTTGTCCAGTGGTCATCAGAAATATTAGATGATGAATCCATATTAGTCCGATATGCTTTAATTCACCTAAATGTCCATCCCAATACCGTATATTCTGGCCTACTTTAGAAAATAAAGACGATTTAGTGGAGTTTCTTCCAATATGGCTTGACTTCATGCAAATAGGCTCACTGGCAATCCACTCCTCAATTGTTGTTGGCCGGATGTTGCTTTAATGCCTTGGGTCAGGAGAAATCGTGGTGCGGCTGTCACAAAAAAAATGCCACATTGAGTAGTGCAAAACGGTGACGACTACAGGCTCGAATCGATTTATCTCAACATCTCAAAAACACAGACATAAAAATTCTTTGCAAGATTCTAAAAGGCGAAATATCTGCAACTTTAAGGATATGTGGTCTCAACTTTACATGCACCAAGATAATTATTACTTACTATTAGCAGTTTCTACCACCACTAACTTTTTTACATATACAAGAAGTTCAGGAAAGCAACCATAGGAAAGTAGCAATAAGTCAAGCTTTTGAGTGGACCAAGAAGAAACATCTTAAATTGCCTTATAGACATTACTCGATACGAGCAAAGGGACGCTAGTAAATTTTCCGTTATTCACTTTATAAACTCTTCTCAGTGAAGTCCGAACAAATTCTGTCCCAATTAACTTCTGATCTAACGCAGGTGTACCCGCCGATGCTTTCGTAAATGCGGTGGATTTGCTGAGAGTAACAGGCGTAAGTCAACAGTTGTTTAACTCTCAGGTTTATCAAATGGACGTTTTGAGAATCCGCCATTGACCCTTCGCAAGGTGCGATGGAAGCGAGCCATGACAGTGGTCGTAACCCCTTCCGTACGGCAAATATATGTATTCTACCCGAGCACTATGCCTTCTTTTGTCTTCAAGGAAGGCTCAGGGCATCATACAGCATTAATGTGGTCACACAAACAATCAAAGAAAGTAATTTTACAAAAGCTGATTGCAGCGCCTCGGGACCCCCGTGAAGACAAAAGAAGACAATACTGGGGCCGACTATGTATATGCGACATACAGAAAGTATTTGAGCCACTCACACTGCCCAACATCCAGCCCAATCGGCGTGGTATAATGGCCAAGTCAAGTTAAACAAACATCGCATTACACTGATAGCCTTGGATTCGTTTGAAATCACAAACTGCAAACAGCAGATATTTTCAGCGAAGCATGACTGCATCCCCCTTATAACGGCAAACTAATACAGTACTACGTTATTTAAAAAATAGCTTAAAAACAAGCAAAATGTGTGGAGTTTGGTAAAAATGATACAAAAATTGCTAATATTTTATTTTTTGAAAAGGGTTGCAAAAAGGTGTTGGGATATGTTAAGATAGAAAAACTAAAAAGAGTCATTGTTAGGTAGTAATATTTTCTAAAAGTTTAATTTTTTAAGTCGGTAGACTTGCGACGGTCAGTGATCGTTTGAACTAATTGCTAAGGTCACCGCTTCTGCCGATTTTGACAGGCTTTTAGTGCAATGCGGATAAAATGTACTTCGGCTGAAATACTCAATACCATTTAGGTATCGTGGGTTTGGCTTTCCTGATCTCCGTTGGATTTACAATGCTTGTAGTCGGATGCGTTGTTACAGGAGACTAGTTAGTCCTTGTCCTGATTTGTAAACCCATGTAGTAACTGGAAGCCTTTCGGAGTTATTCCATTTTACCTAATTTCACCGATTCCACTTTTGCTGGCGATAAATTCACAGTGTGAGAGGGACAGTGCCGTGTGGAGTGCAATGATATTTACTCACGCCGTCCTCGTTGCGTCCTGTTTTGCACTCCCCATCGTTTTGGCTCATGCTCCTCTTTCGACCCCATCGGTACGTTAAGTTTGTTCAGTGTTCGCTTTTAGATAAGCTGGAGCGCTTGTGGTTTGACCTTAACTGGGAACGTAATCGTTTTCGCCGCCCTATATATCGCTGCTCGCTTGTGCAGCGATGGCCAGTAATCTCATCCGCAAATTACTTGAGCTATTTATCAAGGTATAAAATTAGCCATCAGCTAAGTCATCCCACTCGATTATTGTCACCTGGCACATTTTACCCTGTCAAGACCACCAACTCACCCTCGATGTCCCTACCTTACCTTATTGTAATTACGCCTAAATATTAATCGCTTTTCTGAGACATCTTCACATTATCCAGACATGAAGTAGGGGGCAAACTTGCATCCGTTCTCATGAAAAAGGAGTGGCATATTTCCGTTTCCTCGATCTTGTGTCCGTTTGGGTGTGATATCAAGCAAGGAAATCGAGTGGATGAATCCGTATAATTATGTAATAATAACAAGTTAATGTTGAAAGAAGTGGTGCGGTCATGCGGGGAGTGAGTAGGAATCCCTGGAATGGCGCGCTTGCTGGGAGGAACTTGAGTAACTTCGTTGTGAATTAAGTAAAAAATCAGTGAACCTCCGCCAGAATGGTAACGTTTAGTTTCGCAGAGCAGCGAGCCTGTGAAAAGAAGTGAATAAAATGAAATCTGGCTGGATTATTGCATGGAAGGTGGCGAAAGTGTACAATGGCTTGCTAGGTAAAAACTAAGAGAGGGTAGGGTACAGAGTAAATCTACCTTTCCGTTAGGGCATCATCGGCTTGGGACCTGCGTTCCCCGCTAATGGGGTGGGCGATCGAATCAGTGGGGACCTGAGCGCCCGCCATTGCAGCCTCCACTTCCAGACCATTCTCCTCAGCCACCTGCAACGAGACGACTCATACTTAGGCCAAAACACCTAGATGATCTCGCGATTGGACAGCGCTGTTGGTTTCGGAACAGCGGCAACTTAATGCACAATATACTGAGGGTTCAAAGTTTTTGGTAGAACACGACCTCTCCCCTTCGACCATTTACTTATACGGATATCAGTATTTCACCACAGTAGTAGCCGCTGATAAAATACACAGTTAGTATTCATTTTTTTATAAACAACGAGAGTATGTAAGCGCTAATGACTAGATCTCAGCAAAAATGTGCTCACGAGGCCCCGCCCTGGCATTCGTACAAAACACTCGCGGTCAGAGTCATAAAAGCTTCATTTTCTATTCAAATTGAAGTGGTATCGGCGTATGCAAGTTGATGAAACTTGAACTTATTGCAAAGCCAAACAACCCTTGTTACAATTTGGTAAATATGATGCTATCGCATAAAAAAATAGCAAATGAGGAGGCCTCATATAACAGTGTGGGAAAGACTAATACCGTGACTATCATAACCGTTCATCAACAGATATCAACTTATAGCCTGGTTGACCGATACTGCCACCAACCAGTAGCTATTTACAAACTGTACATGTTATAAATGATTAGAGATAAAGTCCTGTAAACGCAAAGACAGCACTAAACGTTACTGATAGAATGCCAGTCTCCGAATGGTAATTAAAATCAAATGAACTTCTGTGTCGAATTAAAAACACCGATTTACGCCAAATTCTGAGTACTCTAAGTATGCACACATGTGTAAAAAAGTAAAGAAATTTACACACAAAACCACGTAAATCGCGTGACACAGCGGTAAGATATTTCTACCTTCTCTAATTTAGAGGCAAATCAGTAGTGGAATGCAACTCAAGTAGAGTGAAGCCGACATTCTACTTATTCAAAACAATAGGTGATACCAATAATTCGGACACCATACTTATACAAAAAGGCAATAAGCTAACCTCTGAAATACCAAAACCTCATCAAGTTAAGAAAGGAACGAATACCTGGACACAACTTAAGAGAAATTTCAAAGTAATGACAACATTCTGCATAAGGATAAGGTAGGAAACCTTCTTTGGCACAAAGCTTACTCACAAGCATTAAATGATAAGTGATTGATTCTACGAGCCAAGTTAACACTATGACTCTCAATGATCGAATGTAGCTGCTACGATGGCAATTCTGTTAGCAGTGAGTCCTTGAGTACTACGCGCCTTGTCACTAAGCAACCAATTCAACAATGCAAATAATGACTAGGGCTTAAAGTGCAACATTTTACTAGCTTTCGTCTCAACCGTTGTTTGGATCGGAATGAATTAAGTGAAGTATTTAGTATGACGGAATTACCTGCAGTCAACGAAAAATCCTATTAAATAAGCCATCGCTTCATTATTGTCAAGACCAGTATGACGGAAAGATTGCCAGTGAACGGAAAATTCTATTGCACCACCGCCCTACTATTCACACGACATAGTGATGAGAGGCATCATCTAATTGCATGTAAGAAACTTGAAGCTACCCACAAACACTGGGATGATACCCCAGGCGTCTTCCATTCACGAATATGGGGGCGGAAGCAATCGGTGGACTGGCATATCAAAGTCAGACGATCGCCTCTGAAAACCGATAATATTGTGCCCCAGACTATATTGCTGGAGCTATTTTTAGCGCTCAAATGATTCCCGGAGGGAACGACTCATTCTTCAAAAAGTACGTGTGTATTAATGAATAGCTCAAATTGATGGGAAAACTAGTGAAAATGAAGATTTAGGAAAATATCAACTACGTGAGATTAAATCACATAGGACTATTGCACACAAATTTGACTAACAGGAAACTAGTAACATCCAGACTTGTTAATGATTGCACTAGTTCACATATATCGACGAATCAGGAAAATAAGTACTATTAATAAGTGGAAAAAATGTCAATATAAAGTTAGAGAGAGTGCAGATTTTCAGCATTTTTAAGAAAATAAATTTACCGAGGGGATTACAACTCATTATCAAAGCGCCGATCGTGGCAAAACACTTGAAACAGACTATTTGAAGGTGTGAGTAACAAACCTAAGTAAGAGCTACCATGTTTTAAATTAGGTAATAAGTATCGACCTGCAAATCCCAAAGTCAATAGGAACCGGGGTGGCAACCACGACGTTTTTCTGAGATGGTGCATTTACAAACCTTAAAATGTTAGAAAGTTCGATCTCTGGTGGTAACTGAGGTGTTTGGTTTAACGAAGAAATATTTTTGTCAAAAACACGAATAAAATCAGGGAGATTTAGCCAAATGCTCAAAGCCGACTTAAAAATTGAATCAAACAGCTTCGCGAGTGAGAAGATACATAAACGCATACGAGCTGCAAAAAGCCAAGAACAATTCATCTACCTGTTTAATTAGACTCTGAATTTCGTTCTCAGGGGCAGACGTGGCCATTACAGTATTCATAGAGCCCTCAACAGTAGAGGTTCGGACATCCAGATCCGTGAATGTCTTTTCAAAGTCACCCATCACTTCTTCAATCTTCTCAAGATTCATCGATGCCATACTAGACTTCAGCCGATTTGTAACTTTGCCGATGTCCTTTGTCATTGTTTTCATGGTAGAAGCTGACCTCAAGCGCGACTGAACGGCATCAAGCCGAGATGCCATCACCATGTATTGAATACTTTCCTTGTGCTTCCTAATAGAATCTTCAGCGTAAATACGAGCAGCGTCTACGTTTCTTGCTTCTAGTGCCTTATGATAGGTACTAACATTCTTATGTAAAGCGGCATACCTTCTTCAATTTACCTCGACACATTTTTGACTCAGATTCGGCCTTTTGAGAATAACGAGTCAGTTGCTTTCCACTGAATTTTAAGTCGAAAACAACATCTTGCGAGTAAAATAATGACTTACTTACCTTCTAGCGACGGCTGTTTGAACAAGCTCTTCATCACACCACTTGAGGAAAACTTAACAGCAGATTGGTTTAGTACACATATTTATAAAGCCACTTCGCAAACAAAAAGTTAAACAATTTTTTAATTTGTTATTTAAAATAAAAGCTATTTTCGCCTTTAAAGATGTACTTTAAACCATTTCTGATGCAATCTAACTGACAAATAGAATCCTTTGCCATTCCTAAACCTGGCATTTATCAGTTTGTATTTCTATGTACTGACCAAAGGCCTTCTTTCGGCACTTGCCTATGTTTTACTTAAAACTCAACTAGCTTACCTACGTATTTCCTATACGAGTGCTAAATAACGTTCAGTAAACTTGTAGTTCGTGTTCGCCTTTATGTGTCTCCTGGGTAAGAAGCTGTCACTTTGCACCAACCACTTGACTGGACGGATGCCTTTAAATTCAGGGTCTAAGACTATACTTAGTTCTTTTAAGCTCTAATTACCCATACGCCTGCGTCCTCCACTCACTCCGTCCTCGACCCAAGGGTGCGAAGCCGAAAGCTGAAGAAAGAGTCGCCTAACACGCCTTATTATTTTATCAACCGCTTGTTTATGGTGCAGAGCAGCTATTTTTCATCGAAGAGCTATAACGATATGGCAGTGTGGAGTGAAACTTATCTTCAACCTATGGGAGTGTAGAAGACCATAAGCACAGCTATCAACCTTTGCGGCCGAATCGGAAGCTCGTGCATCCGTGGCTGACGAATCAGTGTGGTTGAATTTACGCTTAAACACTGCACATTCATGTTTTTTCTTAAGCATTGTCCCTTAATCAGTCTTACCTTTTGTATATCATAATGTATTTTAATAATCACCCAGAAGCGTTGGTTATTTAATTTAATTTAATTTGGACTGAAGGAGGCATTTCGTCTCTGCTCATCTGTTTTACTGTATTTATGATTCCGTCTGTTTTGGTAACTGAATTGCCGGGAGGAGACTTCACCAATTTTCTGCAGTCCAAGGCTAGACGATGCTCTGCAAGTACTGCATTTCATTATCCGTCGGAGCAATTTCTGAATATGAGAGTTACCTGATAAAGAACATGATTTAAATTAACTTCGCCGAATTACTATTCCTTTCCCCCACTTTGTTCTCATTTTATTGACATTTAGCCACCTATCTTAGTCTCACTCACCGACTAGAGATGCTGAAGGGGAGGAAATTCACCAACTGATAGCACTGTTGACAGCTCCACGTATACGTACCCGGTGATACCTAGGCTGTCAATCTCCGTCCCGTAGAAAACGACACTGGTACAATTAATTAGCAGACAAGGCTCCCTTTTGCAATGAATCTCTGCAGATTCAGAAATCCACAGGAAATACCTTCCTCCCATGACATCAGGGTTTAGCAATCGGATTAACTTGCCGCTGTTCCAAATATAAGGCTCTGTCACTTCCATGAAATTCTAATACCTTATGGATGAGGATTTAGTGCTAACGGACAGAAGGAACGAGTGGGCATGGGCATGTTTGGAAAGATATGCTGTCAAGACGTAAATATAAGCCTTGGGGACTGAAAGGTTAGTAGATGCTAAATTAAAGAGGGGTTTACGAGTCTTCACTTGTATCATCAAAGTTTGCATTTATTGGTTCTAACCGTTTAATCAGACCATCCTACAGTTGTACAATTAAAATAAAAGTTTATGGAGTGAACATGAATTAATTTAAATGCGCATTACCCAACAGAATAATTAACTCTGAAGCAGGAAGACATTTTTGAGGTTAGACAATCTTTGAAGTCCACCGTCGCAAGTGTTGATTCGAGTATCATTAAATGCCGAAGCCAATACCTCAGTTCTACTGATTACGGTGAACCACTGATTCATTTCAAGTTTTGCAAGTGTGGTTTTACTTCAGGTGTCTATAACCTTAGCTACTACTTCACTATCCTCCCTACGTCAAAGCCTTATTGCAAACGTGCTATTGGAAGCACCAATTACCAAACCGAGCGAAAAGTAAATCCCACCAATAGAAATTAAAATTTAATGTAAGCAAAATACCAGCATCAAAAGATGAAAATAACTTCTTCAGTGCCACATATTTGATGACAGTTGGAACTGAATAATGTTAGCCATCAAGATCTTCTTGCGGCCCTAGGAATGCCAGAGGAGGTAAATGCTGCGGTGGCAGCAACTGCGGGAAGTGGAAATCCATCGGCGTAGCAGGTGGCGGGGAAGGTACGGAAGTGTGATGATAAAAGACGATGTTGCAATGATTGTAGGTCGCCTTAAGTGAAAGCGCTTCGAATATTGAAATGGACGGACAGTGAGAAATATCTAGGAATGCGAGATTCTGGCAATGAAGAAGAAGTCGGTTGATGCAGGGTTGTGTGATAAGGGCATTGCCTATCAAGTCCAGATCCACCAACGAGTCATACAATGAGTTGGCTATAACGTCGACATCAGCAGGTGTCACAGACCTGTAAGAAAAACACTGGTCACCGAACTAGGCTGAGAAGAGCTGCTACATTAGGGTAAACAGTGCTGCTACGGACCGAATGGCTGCGAGAGACAGAACACGCAGCTTGCGGCAACGAGTAACCAGTTCGCGAAGACAGTTGGATGGTTCTGACTCAATACCTGTACACCAGCCCAAATCAAGTCTGAGTAGGTGTGGACAGTGTTCGGCTATTCTTAGAACTCCAAAGCTGGTTAAGTTGCGACATCGCCACAGCACAAGAGACTCCAGGACACTTTGAAAGGACAAACACTTAGAATAGCACCAATTTGACCAAGGAAAATTTGGAATGCAACTTAGTATTAGCTGTATCGAATCTGACTAGCATATGTAAATAAGTGTCTTTACTAAAAAAGTAATAGGAGCAAATACAGAGAACGGCAAAGAACGTTTTGAACGATTTAGGTCAAAACATTGATTAATCATTACCGAGCCAGAATAGTTCATAACAAATCATTGCGATATTAAGTGGAAGGGAGCCAGCTTACGGGTTGTTGGCAGTGATGTGCTCAACAATGGTGTCAGCGTCTTCGATTGAGACACAGGAGCCGAGATTCAGGTGTCGGAGGTGCTGACATAGGTTAGCCAGATTGTGCAGGGCAGCGTCAGCTACTCGCGTCCTGTAGAGACTGAGCCAACGCAGTTTAATCAACCGACCCAAGGGAATGAAACCGCCACTGGTTACTGATCGGCACGACGAAAGGTCCAGCTCTAGAAGAGAAACCAGCTGAATAGCAGTACATAAAAATCAACTTCTAGAATTTCAAGAGAGACTAAAATCAAGACAGGTACTGAGGAAGGAATCCTTCCAACTAGTAAGATGCATTCTAAAATTGCATTTTTGGAAGACGGTTGAGTCCAACCACACTTAAGGAAATATCCGAATTTTGAGGACGCATTATATTTAATCACGTTTTGTGAAAAGTACAACCTTATTTTTTCATAGGTTAGCATGATGATCGTTTATAGAAAATCAGTATTCGACATAAATACTGATACAAGCCACTTCCAGAATTAAGACGAATGAAGAGAAGGATTTTTCGACAAACTTTTCTAAAAAGACAACGTGATTGATGCAATCATATAAAAGCATACGAGTTCCACACAAGTGAACATACCTTCTAGATTACCGCAAATATTGATAAGCTGCAGAAGGCACTCATCATTGACCATTTGACAGGAGGAAAGACGAAGAGTTGTCAAATTACGCCCAACGTCGCTCAGAAACTGACAAAATCCGTACGTAGATATCTGAATTAAAATGAGATTTCCTAAGCAGCACAGTCTATTTAACCTTACAGTACACATTCGTTCTAGAACTTAACAATGAATCCTGGTGACTTTACCAAACCACAAAAAAAAACTTATTCTTAAACACATCGTTTTCAACATAATACTACCAAACCCTCCACTTCTCTGAACAGACACTTGAAATAAAGTGGGGCTTTAAAAACGTATGGCACCTCGAATCCGTAAAAGTTGCCCTCCCAGAGTGCATTTCACTAGGAGCAGTAGTGTATGCTTGGAACCTAGAATTTCCGATAATGCTGCTGTGAAGGTAGTTATCCAGCATAGGATATTTAAGCAGTACAAGCGCGGGATAAGGGGAAAATCGCGTAGGTCGAACTTTACTAAAGTACGCCAAAAAATTCAAACTAGATAAATGATAACTAAGCAGACTGAAAGCTGGTGAACCAGAAGCAGTGTTTAAATGCCTTTAGAACAGCACATAACAGCAACCACAATAAGTAAAAAAAAACTATAGGGAATGATTGAAACATACTGCCTGATAGTTTCCACACCAGGAAATATCCAGCCTTCTAAGTCGGCAGGACACGACGTCTTGAGAACTATTGTCGAAATTTTGGAATGCGGAAGCGCGAACTCTATCAGTGGGAGGCGCACCACCACCGCAAACGAGGGTAGTGTGATGAGTGACGCCCTGCCCCGTGAGGCTGCTCCACGAGGCATAGTGGACAGGTGCCGATTCAGAGCGTGTACCTCGTCCGCGAGGTCTTTCGCATGCAGATACGGTCCTGTTTCGGCTTCTATGAAGTCGACTGGATAGGACCGAGAGAGCAGTGTCCGTTGCGGTCGGCCAGAGGGCCTGCAAATTGATGCTCTCAAGGCGTGACAGCGTTTCATCGGCAAGACGGTGGAAAGTACTGGAAGTTAGACGCTTTTTAAAAATAGGAGAGGATGAAAAAAACTTAAAATTTTTTTAATGCTTACCGACACACACAAGATATTCGGCAGAGAGTCGGAAGGTCTAAATAACGGAAAATCGAAAGTAGAACTTCATGCTAAAAGAAATAAGGCCTAAATCAGACAGCGAAAATTAGAGGGTAAAAGCCTTGACATAGGTTCCCATACTGGAAAACAGAGAAGTGGATTGATCGGGCGGGTACACGGATTTTCACTAAACGAGAGTGTTGTTTGATGCATCAGAGCCAAAGAAGTTAATGATGAAGGGAATTTACAAAGCCCCATTGATATTGGACACAATGCAGAATTTTGAATATATTCAGTTTCCATAGAGAATTGGGGAAGAGGCAGCAAGTCAGAAGGATAGTCGTCAACCTCATCTGCATATGGAGTCTGCTAAAAAAGGAAACATGAATAGAGTAACATTCAAAAGAACACAAAGTGGAGTGCAGCTTACTGGGTTCGAGAATGGCATGCTAGCTAAAGCCAGCCTTTTTTCATTATTTTTTTCTTCAATAACTGAAAGATACCATTCCAATTCCTTTCTTGATATAATTCGACACCTGCCACGCTTCTTCCAACGGAATTCGGCTTCCTTGTCAGAGATGGGTGCATAACCTTCTACCTGTACCGCATCCAACTGTGTATGGTACGCGCAGCGACGAACGTCGAATTCAATCCGAATAAGATCTGTTGGCACAAGCGGAATATTAAACTGCAAAAGGACAAAAGATAAAATAGAGAAACTGAAAAAACCGAATATTTATTAGGGAAAAAGACGCACTAAATCAGGCACAAAAATCCTGGCTTTTCCAAACCGCAAAATTTTAACAGAATCCGCTGATACTATTGCATTTTCTCCGTCTATCGAAAGCAAATTCGATAAGCCACCATGAGCAGTCGATTGCCATAATGTAGCCCAATACATCCCACGAGCGTTTACAGGATTATCAGTTGGCTGATCTCGATAACAAGCACGAATGGCTACAATCGCACCAGGAAAGAATGTTTCATATATCTTCATGCGAACAACGATGAGGGGACGTTCAAAGAAAACGTCAACATAATCCGTGCTTGAGTATGCATGCGGGCCACCGGAGATTGGTTTCAGCGATCCTGGATAAGTTTCCCAACGGGATCCATAATTGAGCTAGAAAGAGCATATTTTAGCGAAAATAAAAGAATATATCCGAGCACTATGGAGCAATAAACTTACAAATGCACAAGAACGTGTAGAATCCTCAAAGTTGGGGTAGATTGTCGGTGGGCCACACAGATTTTCTGCCACAAAGGCCGTTCTTCCATCTTCTCCATATTGAGAGCTGCATTCAATCACTTCTTTAGCAAATAACTCAGTTCCTGCAAAGTAGTTCGCTTTTTGATCCATTCATATATTACACACCGATTTACGAACACCGCTTCTTTATAAAACCCTATGTAGTCCAAATGTGTCCCACATTTAGGAATTTAAACAAGATTAACGTACTTTTGCCTCTACAAATGTTTGTTAAAAAGAACTGTATAACTTTTTCAATAAAAAATTTTGCTGTTTACGTGTTAAACGGCGTAGATAATGCCAATATAGTTGTGCCTGCATGATTGATTTGATGAATTCGGTAATCGGCGCCACCCATGAATATCGCTTCAAGTGTGTGATTTGGGAGCTGCCGATGGATGATATCATCCACGAGCTCCGGAACGCATTTATAGTTTCTGATGACACATCAACATGTGAAAAGTTTTGCCGTGATTGTGATGAATTTATGACGGAGATTACTCATCAGTACGATTTATTTGCCATATTTTTGTAGGGATACCAGCTCTGCCGGTCCTTTTCGGCATTCTCCGGAAATAACATTTACTCCTGACTCAGGTAGTGTTTTATTGTCCTTGATGTTATTCTTTCTTCAGATTTTTGCCGTTGGAATTATTTAGTGGAGCAAAGCAGCCAAATAACATCAGCTTCCACTACTAGCTGCCAATCGTGTTACTCTGAAGGTGAAGCCATTTTCGGGTTTCAAATTCTATAGGTGTGGGTGAAAGTGTCCCTGAATTTGTTAATGCGGCACCACTGTCGCCCCTTCCGCCTGTCGATCGAACGAGGAAGTCGGCCTTAACGATAGCTCTGGAAAAAGCCCATTTGAACGGCAGGTCGGTGAATAAGTTCAACGACTTTGCCATTTTCGATGGCCGATCAGCGGGTGGTAGGAGTCCTTCTGTGCCAAACACCCAGTCTTCCCCGCGTCTGCGTCCCTATGTGATATGGTTTTGGCGTATTTCCGGTCTTCCTAAGATATCCTTCTCAGTACAGCCTACATCTTCATGTACAGTGCAAGATTTAGTAGGATTATCTCTTTGGCAGTACTTTAACGAAAATCCATCTGCCATCACTCCATTCAACTCAGAGTCATCCCACCTTGAAAAGGACGCAACGTGAGTAGCTGCTATTTTCTCTGCGTCTATTGTGGTACTAGATGTACGTATTTTGTTGTGTTGCAGATTAATAATTAAGCAAATCGACGTTTACATGTACGATCCACATGAAGACGTTGATGACTTCCCCCCCATTCAGCCCTCGGATTCGATTTATAAGTACGGTTTTGATTCTCTCGCATTGGTGGAGAATGTCACCACTGCATCTCCTGCTCAGGAAGCCAATTTGGAGCCGCTAGTTTACGTTACAGTGTATATTGTTCCAGTTTTGCTTACTTTCATGTTATTTGCATTATTTTGTTCATTAGTTTTATGTCAACTTTTATAGGATGGTCTGAGCAGCTCTTATGTTTTTTCTAGCTGAAATAGAATCGTTTTTTACTGATGGTATGGATGGCTTGTAGACAAATAGTCAAATTGGTTAGACTCAGTATATGTGGTGGATGCATCTGGTAGTAAGAATACTTCGTTGATGTTTGCTCCGTTTATTGGTATATTGTATCCTCTTAAAGGCACTTGGCCCAGGGTATAAGTCTTGTTCGCTTTGCGGCGTCGGCGACCCTTAAAACAGTTCTCGATGCGGCTATCAACAGGCGCAAACTACGGCAGCATGAGGGCTACGCCTATCGTCTGGAGGAGTGGCTCGATCCTGGCAAACAGCCACAAGCGTCTGAGGATCAGATCGCTTCCCGCAGGCCCCTCGATCTCAGTATGACTCTGGCGGAGTATACGAGAAACAATCCACGTCCACACTTCGTCCTCATTCGTGAACACAGTACGTTCCACATTTTCCCTCATTTATCGAGAAGTTGTTTCCTCCTTCACTTGTCCTTCTTTTGGTTCACTTTCATATCCATTATTGGCCCTATCGACGAGGTATTTTTGATTGTATAATAGGGTGTGTTCATTCTCATTAGACTGTGACTTGTTACTTTTTAATGTATTATTTTAGCTGTACTTTGATAAGTTGACTTCAGCCTTTTCATGTCATTCGTCAACCTTGTGGTTACCCATTAAATCAAATTAAAAGGTACCATTTACCTATAGTACTACTAATCTTATTACCGTGACAACTATCCTTCCAACCATTATGTATATACCCTTTTCGTTGCTTGCCCTGACCTTAAATCCATTTGCGTATGTCTCCGGTTTGGTTTACCATATCCAAACTACCATTTTGTATCAAATAATCTAAGCTGACCTTTCACATCGTAGTTCTAACCATTAGAAAGTAATCTGAATGAAAAACAATGGGTAAGTTATGCTGTGCGGGATGTATTCACTGCTAAATCAATCTAGGTAGATGGGGTCCATTAAAAAGTATGTAGTTTGTTGCATTTTCGCTATCAAATTGATAGTGACTTTTCTTGAGGAATAAATGTCTTTTGGGATTTTCTGCATGATGGAAGATGCAATGTATAGGAAACCATTTTCCTTTGAGAAGAATTTGTTTCACTATGCGCAAGCACGATGCAAACTTTTTGTGTCTATGTCTGTCACGACGCTTAGGTCTTGAAGTTACTTACAGAAAGTGACCAGTTTTTCATACTTTTGATTATGCAAGGGCAAAATGGAAGCATTTAAGATGCTGAAGGAACGTTTATTTTTTGACTAAGAGCAAAAATACTACTACTTCAGTTAAATTTTTTCCCTCTTTGGATTTTGATCAATTTAAAACACGTGTGTTGCAATCGACAAGAGTTATGGAGATGGAAATTAACACGTTTTGCTATCTCCATAGCCCATATACGGTGGCTCGACTTTCGTGCCTGCACCGGCGGCCCATACAGTAAATAACATTGCTTCACAAACAACTCGATTGAGTTTAAGACAGCAAATTATGATGTTGGCCCTCTTTGGTCTTAGACTGATCACGCTTCGTTTTTGAGCAGCTGTTGAAATGTTAATAAATACTGACAATGGATGCTACTAGAAAAGTAAAACGTTTGCGCTCTTCCCATCGGTTTTCCTCCGAATGTCTGAACGCGAACGTGTCGGACTTGATGATGCTTGATCGCTGATATTCTATGCACAAAATAGGTCGTTATGACCCTGTAATGGAAGACAATGATCGTGGACAGCACGTTTCCGCGCCCGGGAACAGGCCTATCGATATCCTAACTACATCACCTAGTGGCGCGGTGACTCGCAACCTCCAATCGAGGAAATACCGAGCCACTCATCTCCGGGGTCCCACCTCACGCGATGTCCAACTCAGTAGGTTCTCCCCCCACCCCAATTTCTTCTTGCCGTCGTCGTTTGCACACATTCAGAATTTTCCATCGTTATGACCTTCTAAATACCTGTAGTCCGGATCTCTTTGTCCTGCCTGATGCTAAACGGTTCTCCTTATTAGCATTTTAGTCTTATGTCCCATTCGGTTTTTCTATCCTTTACATCCGCCAATGAATTTTTTTTTCCTTGTTACTCCTGAATGGCATCCTTTGGAGCTGAACTCTTCGTGTGCACGGCTGCATTTTTTTGCTGATGATATAGCTGTCTCACACCGAGGCTACAAGCGAGACTGATCATCTTCTCTGCTTACTTGCTGTGATATGCAAGCACCTGTCGACCGTGTGATCAATACTAGTATATTCAAGCATGATAAGACATTTTTGTCCAAATGCTAAATCGTGGCTCGTCTGTGGTTTACCGTGGTGCTAATGGGATCGTGAAATTAGTCCGACAGAACGCTTTTCACTAACTACATACTGTTGTTATGTAATTAAAACGCTCCCATGGTGTAATAACCCGTTTATTATATTTAGTCATCTTTTCCCCCTCTTGTTCTTTAGTCTATTTCCTGTTTTAGCCATCGCATCCAAAATCCGTTAGGTAGAAAAATCCCATCGCATATTGTGGTCGTTTCGACTATCAGTCAGTTGATGCCATGTAATACGTTATGGTAATTGACTATGATGTTTCTGTTTCGTCAAACTGTAACGTTGACGTTTGTCGATTTCTGAAACTGTACGATTTGTGTGCATCCTAGCTTGTATCACCTTGCGGAATGGTATGGTAACCTCGCTTGTTTCGTGAGCACATCAATTATTTTTATAGTTCTAATCTCCCTTTTCCATTGATTTAAAGTGCCTTTAATGGAAACAGACCCCGCGGCCTCTCTATTTGAGTTCCCTTTTTTTGTGACGCAACTACACTGTTTCACTGTTATCTCTACTGCCTCGTTCCTATAATCATGCTTTATTATTGTTGAATGGCTTTCTGTTCTATTTTAGTACTGCTGTTTCAGTATTCTTAAAAGACGTGGCTCCGCTGGTGAAATAGCTTATCCCATTTTCTAACCTAACTTTCCGTAATAATGTGTCTTATACGACTTTACAAACTGCTCTTGTAGTTGAGAGAAATTTGCAGTATTCATTACGGACTGGTACATATGGGCAGTTTGAATTAGAGTTGCGAATAAGTTGTGCTTCTGTATGCGTGTGCACAAATGCAGCCATATCTCGAGATCGGCTGGACGTTCAGGCCTCTCGATTGCCAAAGATCTTTCGTGGTGGCTCAAAATCCCTGACAGTGCCGATGTCCCATGTGGTGGATTGCTCTCTGTGCTCTGCCACCACTGCGGTCGGTGACCCCTCCAATCAGCCTCTCTCTAAGGTCCAATTTGTCATCCTCTATCTCGTATGTTCTTGTTTTAAGCTCTAAGATACATTTTGGTTCAATTTTCTCCTGAAAATGTTTTCTTAGCAGAATCAATTCCGTCTTTAGGTTCTATGCCTTCTTTAATTGTTATTACCATTTAAGATTCCAGAGACAAAAAGTTGTTTGCGAACTAAGCGTACAATCAGTTAGTCATTTCGAAGTCTACTGTAGCACTTTCACTTCTTTTAAGCAATACCACTGTGTCAATTAGAAGTGGTCCACATTGTTCCTTCTGCTTTGTGAAACTGTGACTTTGATTGGTCACAGTCTTTATTAGCTAGCCATAGCTGTCAAGCGATTGTGTAGACACTTGATTGGCCATCAGAAGAAAAACTCCGTCGATGATTAATCTAATTGCTGCTTCTGACGTGTGAAGTTGAAGCAAACTGTAGTGTCAAATCAACTAGCCCAGTGGGGTTACTGTTACCCGGTGAGCTTCATTTTTTGACTAGCATACACGATAATGTATGCCTAGTAGATTTGCCATTACAGGGCACAAATATGTGGCCTAATTCAACTTTAAATTCAGTTTTACATGACGATATTTCCTCTCCTGAAGCCACCAGTGAGTGGGCAACAGGGTGGAGTCACGAGTGCACTGCCTTCATTGTCATCGCGTGCGGAGTTGGATGTAGCGGAGGAGGGCGATGGGGGGTCACGACATTTTAGCTTGGAGGACATCGTAAATCTCGTCTTTGAGACCCAGTGGACCAGCGCCCGTGCCATATGTCACCAGGTAAACTTGATCTTCTCCTGCTGTCCCAGTCGCATCCGCGATGCCTATCTGAATCTTTGCCTCTCCGCGTCACAGCGCTAGCCACCATCTTCTCACCGTGTCTTTCCCTCCTTTTACCCTATTTGACTCATACGTGCCCCGCATTCCTCCTGTTTAGTCCCTTCCTCCCCCTTTGTCTTTCCCCATGCTTCCGGTGTGTGTGTGTGTGTGTACCGTCTGCTACCCACAAAGGGTACAACATCATGCAAGAAACAATATTTTGCTGTTATTTGTCCCTTCCTGGTTGATACTTTTTTTTTACACTTACCGAGCTTCTAGCTCTAATTAAACATGTTGTAGGATTGGTTTTCAGCGGGAAGCTTTGTTATTATTCGGTTTATCAGGCATTTGACGTGTTACGTCCACAAGCTCCTTCATGTTGCATAGAGTGCAGAACGTTTGTGTAGCCATGCAAAATTGCCTCGAGACCCTTTTCACATTTGCAGGAGGCAAATGCCAAAAGTTTGTTGTTTCATTAGTCTAAAGCCATGTCAAATTTCTAGGGCTTTGCCCATGGATGTTTCACATTGTGGCGCTTGGTTGTCACTGTATGCGGCACATCACATTCGACTCGGTCACATGGGTAGGTGTATCTTCAAATCTCAAATAGCGATGTCCATAAGACCAAAGATTCCCAAGTGAGGTGAAAAGTGGCTTTTGCTTCATTTTATAAACCGTTCTATCAGCTCGTCGCGATGCGACGGTTGTGTTAGTAGTTGACCCAAACACGTGGAATGTTTAATCATAACATTGTATAACAAGAATTTGAGAGTAGATCTTATGCAACCCGGCTCAAATACAAAGTAGATGCTTGCAGCATTGTAAAATCGTATTACTGCAATTATTTAGTTATTTAACTTCCAATTTGGATAAAGGTGCCACTTTGGTTCGGCGCCGTTATACATTCGTCGAGTGGGCTGGCTTTTGGGCCATGCCAGTAGCTCCAAGCTCTACTCTATGGCGAATATGTATATTCCACCCTAGTGTTATTGTCTTCTTTCATCTTCAGAGAAGTCTAGGCGTACTACATCGGTGGCTGCGGAAAGTAAATCTGATCCCAAGCGACAACCACCCGAATTTCTGTTAATGATTGATAAACCTTACCGGGGCGAGAGAAGTGCCTACGCTGCAGATGGGAGAATCGGTGACGACCCTAACAGAAGGGCTAAAAATGACGTTTACCTTCAGCAACTGTTCCAATCTCGTTTTCTGCAGGAAAGTTATTAACAATGGAAGCGATACTAACTGTGATACATCTGGGAAAGTTTTATTACGAGTTGTCTACCGTAGCTGCCTGAAGATATCAATCATACAAAATTGCGATTCCTCTTTCACCTCTCTATTAGCTGGAAAGAACCCAAACTGAAGTGAGAAGGACGTGGCAAGGAGGGATAGTAGCGAAACCCTACCCCCACAGAATTATATTCAATCCCGTCCTACCACTAGCAATTAAGACGCGTGATGGCCAGCACATCTTCCGTCCCCGAACCCAGTTGTCATACGGGACGCGACTCCAGATCCAGTAGAGTTGCTAAGTAGGATCAGTGGGGTTGCCGCCACATATCCTCTTAGTTGTATGGGCACTTGATAACGGGCATGACTGACTTCTGAGTGCTTCCTTACAGCACCGATTACGTTGTGATACCTGACTCGCGAGGTTAACCAAGAGGAGAGTCTGTGGCGGCGTTCGGAAAAGGGGAGGTGCCGTTTAATACGTTGGTTGTTGGCTTTGGTAGAGGGTCCACTTAGGTGCCCCGGCACCACACATTCAATGTCCAGAATGGTGTCCAGATCGTACCAGTAGCCCAAGCTCTACCGCATGCAGAATGCACACATTCTGCCCGAGCATTATGTCTTCTTTCGTCTTAAGGGAAGTCTCAAGGCACTACATAATTTTGCTTATAACATGCATTACATTAGTGGATATTACTCAGTTCCTTCCGACTCAATCGCGGTTTGTTACTGACCGCCTTTTTAAGAAATTAATCTCATATCCTTTCACAGAGTGCCCTTTTACGAGCGAGCCAAGGGTAACAAATGGGACTGGTAAATTAGTAGTTAATGTCTTGCTACTCGTTGGTAACACCTCCCAGGGAACATAAATTTAGAATCAATTAAATTAGTAAAAATTAAATAGAAATTCGTCTTGTTTTTGCAAATGCCTGGGTCTCACCAGTCCACGATCCAAGGAAATGCGACGAACTTTGAAAGAGAATCACGCAATTGATTTGCGTGACCGTGACGCGGTGCATCGAGCGTATATCGCTGCGGAATGAGGGTCAACTGGATAATTTGGTTAATGGTCCTGTCATGGATATTCAATTACGCGGTATTCTTCATTTCTGTCGCTGCGATTCTCTTCTTTAAGCGTAAGATATTCATGCTGGTGCTAACAGCAGGCGAGACAACCCTTGCGACTGTTGTCGCTGCAGCCTATGGCTGTTGGCTCCTCATCAACTTAGGTTCGGCTGTGCAAACCTGGCGCTCATTTCGATCCACTGTCGCAATTGTCTTTCTTCTCCAAATGTACATCAGTCTTGCAATAGAGCTGTTCTTTTTAATTTTGTTCTTCGGAAGCCGCGACAAATTCATCAGAAGCACGCTTACCTTGACTGTGGGACAACTGTTGGGCAAGTACAACACCTCTGAAGATGCAGCTTCTTTTAGTGATTGGATTAACGAAACTTTTGAATGCTGTGGCTTGACTCAATGGCACTACGAGTGGTGGATGGACGATAGGGGGTGGATCTTGCCAAATTTGAACACTTCTTACGGCTGGGTTCCACAGAGCTGCTGTATTCGTACAGCTTATTACAAAAACTGCGGGCTTGCAAGGCCGCGAATGAGGCAGAGGGCCTTGGATGTAAGCAAGTCGGATAGCGATGCCGCGGAATATGCTGAAGAAGTGGAAGCACTTTTCGAATCGGGCTCTTTTGCAGCAACGGATTGGTATGGGAGGCTTAATAATGAACCCTGTCCAGACATGATTATTGATTATGTTGGTGAGTGGCCTACATATATATTAATGTCCTTAATTGCCCTTAGTGTGGGCAAGGCAACAATTAGTACTGCTGCTTCCCTGGGAATCTTCACCAAATCACAAAAATAAATGTCAGTGCTGTACTGTAGTGAAGTATTGTATTTTGAATCGGACTGTAATCTGTTCAAAGTCCTGCGAGATTTAACATTGAATATTGCGATGTCTACCTAAGTTATTTTACATGAATTCTTAACAGTGACTCATTGGGAAATGTCTTCCAAATATGTTTAAAATTAAATGGGACTATTTACTGGAAGTAATTAGATGAAATAGCATTATGTGCTTATAAAGGAACACAGTGTAAGATAAGTATTAACATAACTACGATATGTGCTGCGAGAGTACTGGGAAAAAGTGGCAGTTTGCTTTACCATATACGTTCCACTTCCCGTTCATTTGAGTAAATCAGCACACTCTATCTAATGATTAGTAGGAACGCAGCTCATTACTAATTAGAAAAAATTACTTTCTTTTGAAAGTTTTTTTTAGCTGAGGTCACCCTTTCGGAATGAATAATGGAAATTGTCTAATCATTATTAGATCAGACGTGGGAGTGAAAAGCATGTGTGACTCCTAGCGCGCAACTAGACTTAAGCATTTATTAGTTTAGATAGTAATCATGCCACGTATCTCAATCTCTGGCATTTAGTGTCAATCATATAATACTTATCATCTAGCTCATATTTTGCATTATAATAACTAATTACAGGACATTATTCCAAATATGCGAAATTGAAAGCGGATATCTTAAGTAGGAATTTTCGACAAAAAGAAAAACCCGCATGCGTTAGTGTTGCGAATTAATCGTAAATCTAATAACCTTGCAATATTGATGACCTTCATAACCTTAACTGACGCGTCTTCTATGCCAACAGAGCGAAATTTAAGAATGCCTGAACAAGTCTGTCAACTGCCGCAGTATGTTTGAAAAGATTTTCTAATAGGTATTAGTGAGCTTCCTACTAACCGGGTCTTTCAACCGACAATATATACGTCTCCAGAAGGTTTAACAAATGGAGTTCTCGAAGTTAGACCTCTGAAAAGGTGCAATAGTGCAGAAACCATTCGAATGCTTCTTGAACGTGAGGCAGACCAAACAGGCTTCTACCACTTTCGACCCCTAAATGATGAAAAATATTATTATACACTTCCAAAAGACAAGGATGGTTGGTTGCGAGGGGTTCTTACTCCTCACTCTCTTAGGCCTAGGGAAATGGGTTTCGAGGCAATATGAACTTCATCCCTTTAAAAGGCTCTCATTGGATGATGTGCGTAGTTGATTGACAGTAATTGCAAACTTAAGATTGATGTTATTTTGCGATGTCAACTTCAACGACGAAGGCACTTTATTAGACGTCTCTTTGCCGAGGCAGATTGTCAAAAAAAAGGGAATGTGACAAAGTACTTCGCATTCTTAACGTATATCTTAAAGAGCTGCACTTTTGCAAATTTTTCATAATCTTTGCCCAGAGATGCAGATGTATCAATTTCATAGACTTTGTGAGAGGTGTGTAAATCTCCGTAATAAATGTTTTTGTAGGTATTGCCTGAATGAAACCCCAACTCTTTCCTTCAATGAATTCGAAGCTATATTTGGAGTGCCCCCTGTAGGCAGGACGCGAGCACCTAAACCAAAGAGCGTTTTTGGGTACGACCATAAGTTATCCGTCGCTTTTGCTTTTGAAGCTATTCTGCGCGGTGCAAGTTCGAAACGATTTGATTTGAAGGAACTCCTTCCGCCAAGTTGTTTTGACGTTGATGGTAGGATTCTCAAACCTCAACTGCGCGAAATGCTTGCGCGAATGCGTGTAAACCTAACAGATGAAAATTTTAGACGACTATGGGAACAGTAAAAAATGCTGTCTTATGGCGTTATTTTGTAGAAAATTCGACTTAGAAGGTATTGGTTCAATAGCTACTCGGCAGCTGATTGATCAACTTGGACTGACGGAAGAAGGAACACCAAGGAAGGACACTATCCAGTCGATAGGATACAAATTTCCCCCAGCTCACCGAACGAGATATAAGAACTACAATGGATACAAATCAATACGGGTTTGGATATATTTTACTGGTTTTGCTTTAACTTAGGTCCCCATTCTTATGCAAAGATGCTGCCATAATTTTAGAATGTTAACCAATGTCCTCCGATGACAATTGATCCTGTTTCTCAACCGCTGCTGAGGAATGAAAGACCGGTAGATAGTAAATTGTCAGAAATCTGCAAGGCAAAAGATGCGCAACCAGCGGTAGAAGAATGCATACCTTTCATTGAACTTCACTATAAGGATCAAATGAATCTCTTGCGTCAACGAAGACCATGCTTTCGAAATCCAATCGAGCAGTTACAATACATAGTAAGACGCCATTTTTTTAGTCAATTTTTGTAAAGACTTAGCTTGTACCTTGCGAACCTACTTCTAATTCTGTACCTTGTGTTTATTTTATAGTTTGATGAGCCTCGCATGGCGTTAGGCCTAGTATTCCAATGTGCTGATTCAGAGTGCCGAGGTTACATATCCATTATGCATTTGCTCGCAATATTTCGAGATATTGGACTAAAAGTTGATCTTGAAGAGGTGAAGCGCTATGCGAAACGACAGGGACTCTTTGTTGACAGTGACAGAGACCTCTGCGGTTCCAATGAGAAAGATGTAGCCTATAAACAATTGCTTCGACGGCTGGAATGCGTTCCTCCACCTAGAACTCCTGATGATATGTATGTCATTACTCTTCAGCATTGTGTTTTACTGAATGAGAATTCCAAGTCAAATTTATCATGAGTACTATCTCACGGGCATTTGAATTGTAAGCCGTAGAGTCATTAACCATTGTTTTGTCTTATATACAGGAAAATGGGTGGCTCGTGCGCGTCGAAAAAAGGTTTCGGAAAAATAAGGCATTTGGAAGATGAACTTTTCAGAACTATTTTTCACGATTACTTTGACTTCATTGAGAAACTTGAGTAAGTTCTTTTCTTAGCGTTGAGATACTGTAAAACGCTAGCTTTTGGTTGAGAGAGCTATATCTGTTAAAGGAAACATGACAAGGACGGAGGAGTTCCCTTGGCATACTTTCGCGATCTTGTAGAATCAACCATTGGATTCACCATGGACCGGTGTCAATGGGAGGATTTAGTTCGTCGTATTCGTCTCAAAAATGAGTGTAGAGTGGATTTGAACCACTTTCTTTCGTACATTTCTAAGGAGTTAGTAGCTTGAAGGATAGAGATATCCACCTCTTTCCATAAGCTAAATCAACTGTCTTTCCCAATTCAGGTGCAAGAATCCGCCTTACAGGGCTCCTAAAGCTGGCGATATGTAAGTGGCATTTTTATCTCTGGTTTTTTGCCCGTATTGAAAGAATATGCACAACTTAGCCCAGTCTGTTGGTTAGCAATAAATTACAGGCTGAAGCAGCGGTTTGTATTCGTTTCTAATATTATTTACTATGCTTGCTCAGTAGCGCTTACTGAACATGTATAAGCAGCCAGACTAATATAAAGTATTCTGGTTAGAATAGTCAGTAATAAATTCTCGTTTAGTTTCCTTTGAAAAAAGATAAGTTCGCAGAATTACTTACGCGCTGTTGTGTTATCTCTCCATCTAATTTAAAGACATTCTTGCAAGCAACTAGTTATTTGGATTTTACCAAGTTGGATACAGTGTCTTGATTTGCAGGATCGAAGAACCATTGAGTATGGATCATGATCGTTAGATGATGGCTTCTTTCATGGATATAGCATTCACTTTGCGTAGTTAATAAAGAACGTTTAGTAGCCATCTTCTGGTATTTTGTCTACTCTAATATATCTTTTTGTCATTTACTGTCTTTAGGGATTTTTCAATGTGTCGACCGGTCACATGTATTTTTTTAATGCTTCATTCATTCTTTGTCTTCAAGACACAAAGATCGTGCTCAGGGGCTATCTTTAAATTTTCTTTGGATAGAATCATCTTGATTGATGTAACTTCTCAGTTTGAACCCATCATCCGTATCCTTTGATATGGCCATTATGTATCGCCACACTGATTCGGCTTCTTACGTGGTCCACATATACAACACTATGAATAGCTGTACTAACTTGAAATAAGGTAGATGGTTTCATTTTGTAAATAATCACTCATATAAAATGCATCTAATGAAAAATCTCTGTTGATAACGCTCTAAGTTGACCGATAATTTCCTTTCTAACAGGGTACATGATCCTGAGCTCAAATCCCTCGTCCAATTTTCCGGTGAACCGCGTGGGCTCAGCCATCTCCTACTAGCCATTCAGAAGCTAATCAACGAAAAGTTCGCTGTCATTGACAAGGTACGATTTTGGTGATATTGAAGATAAGCGTGCCCCAATGGTTTGTGCATATCGAGTTTGGCCAAACAATTTTAATAGTTTACTTGTCAACTCGTGCACCATTCGTTTTGTTTGGCTTGTACTTTAACCGGGAAGTCACAGGGAATCTTATTCCAATTTATCCGTTTCTTATTTGAGATTTACAAGCACTTCGACCACGTCGGCCATGCCACAATCGACAAGCACGACTTTGGTGTCATCATGAAGAAGTATGTCTTAATCTGCAATAATCCATCTATACTTGCCGTTTATATGAGTACAAGAACTCTAGTCATCCGATTTCCTTTTGATTCATTTATTCATTTGAAGAGTCGGTCTGGAGATGTGTGAGGTCGAGTTGGACTCAGTCTGGCGACTGGTGAATGAAGCTGAGCCGTCTGCTAATGGACTTCATAAATACCATCAAGTAATGCGCTTTTTTCTTGAAACTGGAAACATCCGCCATCATTTGGCCACCGCCGAGCGGAACAAAAGTACGCGCTTAACTCTCCACGTAGTAAAACACACTTCATTATTTGGTTCAACCTCGATCGAATTTGGCCTCCAATTCATGATCGTCACTCTCCTTTCTTAAAACATGTGTTACCTTCCATTCAGATTCCAATGAGCAATCCTTATATAATGACTTTAATGCATAATGTCTTGTACTGCTTCAATGGAACTGCATTATATCATCAAAGCAGTGTTTTGTAATTAACGATTGAATTCCGTACTCCATATCTGCCTAACTACTAACTTTGTATGATGTATTCGTTCTAACATTCAACAGAACTCCTTGGTCAGTATCGTTAGCTGTTGTGTTTTATTGTTGTTTTTTTTTTCGTTGCCACTTTTAACCCAAACATGCGGTATTTACTATCGGCACTGCTTTTTCTTCCTGTTTCACGAAAAACTGTCCGAATGAGTTGCAGGCTTGTACTCATTACATACTCTAGCTATTATGTATCCCATGCAGGACTCCACGATTCCAATTTGTTGAAGATGAAGGACTTCCGTCAGTGCCAGAACGACTTCAAAAAACGGTACATCGATGATACGTTGGCACTGGGAAAGACTGCATCGGAGATAAAGTACATGGAGAGGCAAAAGACGAAGCCTTCCGAAGAAAGAGTAAATGAACTGTGCAAGAAAATTCGGTCCTTCGTGATCACCATTTGGACGGATCTTAGAAATGGATTCCTCTGGCAAGATCCCTTCGGCTGGGGGTCTATGCTTCGTAAAGACTTTAGGGTAAAACAATCTATATTCTTCCGTTATCATGATGTCTGGTTGGTCATTTGTCTATTCCCTCAATAATGCCTTCATGGGAGACCAGGATTTTGGTTTTTTCAATTCAGAAAGTCTGCGAGGCCTTCTCTTTTCCATTGGATTCAAATGAGTTGTACGAATTGGCTCACGGATTGGACAAACATAACAACGGACAGTATGTGCAAAAGCGCTTAGTAAAGGCTTCACTTTATTTGCCTTTCGCCTACAACATTGAACTTTTACCTTTCCAGTGTTAATTATGTGGATTTCCTTTCTCGCTTTTCTGAGGGTCATATTCCACCAAAGGTTGGCCAAAAGTTCGACATTGTGCATCACAAACTCAAAAACCTTGTAAGTCTCCCCATTTTCAACCGTCCCATTACAAAGTGATAATGATTTAAACGAGATTCTAACTATGCATTAAATGATTTTGAAAGGCTTTTTGAGCTTAAAGGGACGATTTGCAATCAAGGGAATATAACGCCATGAAATAAACTATGACCCCTACATTAAACTACCCTGTAATTGCGTCCTTATTGTTATTTCTCATACATGTTATTCCAGAAAGATGGATCGGAAACCGGAGTTAGGGAGGTCATGGACCGGATTCGTCGGATAGTAAGTTAGGAACATTCATTTTTTTTTACTTTTACCAGCACACTACTCAGCAAGGCTGTTAATTGGCAGTAACATCCCTATTTATGACACGGATCTCCTGAAATACCTGTAGAAATTACATGAATGATAACTACGCAACAATGACACAGACACACCTGAAAACAACATTAGGTGTCCTGTTCCCCACCCTTTGCTGTACACCGGCCTTCGCCAACCTAATTGCCATCTTTTCAGTGTCTTCGTGAGTACAAAACGTTGCTGGCGGGTTTCCGGGCCATAGCTAGCCCTACACACCCCAATTTTTTCAATGAAAAGGATCTTGGTGATTTTCTGCGAAAGCACGGGATGGACTTCTCCCCCGACTGTCTCTACCACCTCCGCACAGCATACGACCAGCACCGACGCGGATGCATCAACTACACAGACTTCCTCCAGCAGACCATGGATGTCACTCGACCACTCGAATGAGGAAACTGCACTAGTCCACCATGGACCATTAAAGCCACATCAGGCTGAGCAATATAAACAAAGTAAAATATTCTTACACTATACCTTCTGGCGCTCATACCACTTCTCAATCACCCATTACATTCGGTAATAAAAGATAATGAGACGCCCTAAGAGGGAAGACCTCACAATTCTATTTTATCAATCAATGAAAAAGAGGCCTTAACCGCAAATAAACATCCTTGTGATAGGAAGAAGTAAGATTTTAAGTGTGGATTTATTTACTAGAAAGTGGTAGTTAAATTTATAAAATGTGAAATATAAAACAACTTAGACAGAGCTGCCCCATGGCGCTAGATTCGGTTCCTAAGGAACTGCCCAATGATGACCCTGCGGAACCACTCATCGGAGAATTGAAGGTGATATCCCGGAAGTGGAATCAGATGAAGTCGTCCCTGTTCATCCAGTGTCTTTAAACCGAGGCTGTCCTAAGGGGAAAGACACGAGACGAGTCGTAAAACTGCAGGGTTGTTCGTCTATTAGTGGCGTTTAGTGGAGGCATGATCTGATGTAATTGAAATTCCAATGTGATTGAGGGAGTACCGACATCGTACCATCAGGTGGATACGAGCATTACGAGATTTACCGTTTTGTATTGCTTGCTTTCTTTGATGTCGTATACATCCCCGGCTTTGTCCGAACGGTAGAATCCAAACCACTACAGAATCCAAGCAAACGGAGTAACTACTGGCCTTACATCATAATAAGTAATTTGGTTACTAGTGCGCATACAGCACCTCGGAAGCGCCAGGAATGACAGTTGTGTCGTGCATGAAGCGAACCAAAACCAAATTAGCTGCCTTTAGCAGATTGTCCTTGTACGTCCGATTTTGTACCTAAAATTAGCAAAATATAGACACATTGCCCGACATTACAATCGAGCCGCAAGCCATACGGATTAAAAGTGAATTTCACCTGCTTTCAAACCACCACATGAAGTAAACTAAATGAAACTCATAGAAACTGATATAATTAAAAGTACACAGTAGTGATAAGTCGGAAAACCTTTAAAGCAGAAAATCAACCTTTTCCTGATTTATTTCGGCCAGAAATTGGCTTCTCTCACTGTAAAGGGCCTCGTTGAATGGGTCATGCCAATACTGAGCTTGAACGAAGCTGAAAACATAAGTGTTTACAGATTAAGTATTAAGCCGTGTGAAAGCATGTTAGCAAGGCACCGTACTTGGATACAGTCTGTCACATCGGTCAACGTGAAATCCCACGGGGGAAACTTACATCTAGCTTAAAACAGACTACTCAAGATACTAAAAAATTACCAACTGTTAGCATGAATATCAAGTGATTTTTTGCCAATGATACAGTTACAACCAAGGCATTGATTCTATCCAAATCACTATTTTCTCGAAAATTAGCCAGTGGTTTCTTAGACAATAAATTAGTGAGTCTAGACTATACCGGCTTTGTTGAACAGGAATAGACTTGTGCTAAAGCGCATAAATCAAGATTATAAATTTGTTGCTGAGTTAAACGTGTTTGAAAGCAGAAGGGTGAAGATTCACCACCATGCATTAGTCACGCAATTCGAAATTCGTAGAAATAATCAAAACTGTTGACAGTAATTTGGGGGTTAATGAAGTCAGTGTAAATGCAGTCAGTTCCCAAGCACATACCGCTATATTTGGGTGAGCAATGATGACATATAAGTTGCCATATGTGCCTTCGCACCGTAAACTCGATTTCCTAAGTCAAGTCAAGCATATATCGAGACAAAGACTCAGGTAAAAACACAGAAGCCATCATTATCCACTTTTGAAATATTAAAGTATTACTCCATACAAAAAAAAAACAAATATACTCAATACATAAACGATGGGTTGACTACTGAGAGCACGACCCCATATGGTCAACTGACGGAAAAATAATTTAAAAGCAACCTTTAAGGAGCAAATATGGATTGTATCATCACTTTCTTAAAAAGGTAAGCAAACCAGATGGAAGAATACAAGTTGATTTGCAAGAAAAAATCATAAAATTAAAGAGTCGAAATCTGCGATCCAAAATTAGAGCTAAGCTTAAGGGGAGAAAGAAGTTGCAAGTTTACATACTGCGACTGAACGAAGTCGGTGTAAGCCGCCTTGGAGAGCATATTGCGAAGAAAACTACAGAGTGGTGGGCTGGTGGCATTGGGGCAGAAGGGCATGCCGAAGACACCTTGCTGTGGTCCGCCGATTGAAATAACCGAACCGAGCACCGCAGGAGGGCAGCGCTGCGCTAGAGCACGTACAAAGAGACCACCCTGTGAGAAACCAATCAGGTGGAAGCCCCTAGAGAGGTGTGGGTTCGAGTGGATATTATCACAAACGATATTCAGCTGCTTGTTCACGGGCATGAAGAAAGAGTTCAGGCGGTCCTAAATAAGTAGATAGCAGTGCATCAATACGGCATTCTAGTCTCGAAAGCTTCTAGCGACTGAGAAAAATTACATTCCATTAAAAGCAATTCATTCTCTGCCTTACGTGTTTCAACATCGACAAAAAGAAGCAAATGTTGTGGCAAACACTAATGTAATGAATGGACTATTTAGAGATGAAATATAATTCAAACAAACTCAAATAAAATCACTGCCCTCAATAGGTTAAACCGTTCAGAGGATCATTTACACACCCAGGAATGGCACCATTCATGCCCGATAAATTTCCAGAAATAGGCGTAAGTTCACGCCCACTAGATTCAGTACTAGTCAAATTACAATGCCATCACTCACAAAGAAACTCGAAGAACCGATTTCCACATCAAGAACGTAGGTCCCCGGTATTTCATCCATTATCATCTGGCGTAGATGCTTGACGCCACCACCAAAACCAGAGTCCCCTAAAATATGTGTAGAACTAAACAACTTCGTGTGAAACAGAGAAACGTATTACTTACTAGTCTAGTATGTTGCGTTATAAAACCGTATTTTGAGTAAACGCAAGAAGACAATCATGTAGCGTTCCTTCTTATGTCAACAAGAAATCTTTAAACGAAAAAAACTAGTGTCATTGGGTTTTGCTAAGGCTTAAATACAGACAGATTTAAAACAATTTTTGACTAAGTGAGTTGAACGTCTGTCGTTTATAAATGGCTGGGATAAAAGAACGTATGGGCTCAGTGAGTAAAATCTACTTTATTTCTCTTATGCTTTCGTGTGTATGTCACAACATGCTGCTACACAATATCTCATATTTGTAAGTTAGTTCTACTTACCCATACCATGCCAAACGACAACACCCAAAGGTTCCCCATTTACATCTGTGTAAACTGAGGATAGAGCAATGAGAAGCACGGACAAATAGATATTCATCTTGTAAATTCGGGTCTAAAACAAAACACACACTGCATCTTGCAAATAGTCAAAAGCCTGTATTTGGATTTTATACTCTTTTCTCAACCAGACAAATGAACTAAGATAATCAACCTAAAGACATCAAGCGAACAATAAAGTTACTTCCAACGTTCAAACTAATAAATCCCAGCAGGTTCTCGATTATGTATGTGGCTACAAATACGGATACAAAAAGCTCGAATATAAAAAGCCTAAGCTTTGGAAAAGCAGAATAGAAGAAAACCGACACCACTCCTTGGGATAAACATAGACTGATAAGCCCTGCACAGAGAGCACTACAAGGTCATTGGTAAGGTAAAACGCATGAAATATTTATAGGTGTAATCTGGAGCCCCTGACATGATTGCTTAAGCAAACCTATAAAATCAAGCACCTTACACTAAATTATTTTGATATTGCTACGTAGTTTTGCTCTTTAAACCACCAAAAATTTTAAATTGCAAAAAACAGGAAGTTTAAACAACTTCACTTTATCCTTGAAGAGGTCTCAATTTATAACGTACTAATAGGATTCAAAAAAATTATATTTAAGAACTGAGGGTTAAAAGTAGCACATTCCTGCATTAATAAAAACATAAACTTTCGAACTTTTTGCGCAAAGTCCCATGAGTTACCGCGCCCCCTACCTATAGAGTAGCACCTGTGACGATGAATGACATCTTTTGAAAGAATCCCACAAACTTCTTCACTAAGTAAGTTGAGAAATCCCAATTGATGGACAAGCCTATTATTCAGATTGCAGCCCAATGGGGCCACATTAGCTAGAGAAATAGTCTGGCACCGATAGTACGCATGTACTGCAAGGATAGACCTTTTCTCTAACTTAAAGAAATCTTGACGTGAGTGATCACCCTGTGGGCTTAGAAGGACACAGGGTTAGCGTCCTTCACAATTTGCACCCGGGAAGCAGCAGCATTATCTCAAGAGTGTAAAAAGCAAAACATGAGCCATACTACAAAAAAGTGGAAAAAGAGGGTTCATCACCATAGCTGCCGATAGTGGAAAAAATATACGGTTTACTTAACAGAGTGTGTTGTGAATGATGCTCATTTGCCTCTCTATATATTTGCTAATGCAGGTCAAAAGCATCTTCAATCAAGGGTTTTTTAGGAATGCTTGTTAAGCTTGTAGTAAAGGTATTAATTTCGCAAATTGTTTCTTTTTGTTTTATAGAATGAATGTTGAAAGCCTCATTTGTCTTTTCTTCCGCGCATTTTGATCACGTGCAGTCTGTGAACTCTTGATTCTTGGCGGGTTGTACTTGCCTCGCTTCGTTGTTGTGACGCGCTTGCATTATGGATCATTCTAGCAAACACATAGATTCTGATGTTTTAGACTTTTATCGACCATCTCATATCGGCGAGAATCGGTTGTCTAGTTCCGGCCACAATTGCCATCTCCACGACCAGCATTCTTCTGGCAATCAGCATCGGTCGCAGGGAGTGCCACAGCTTCCACTCCATGTGAAAGTAAGCAGTGGTTTGCGAGTGCCTCTTACGGCTGCTGTTCATACTGCATATGGCGTTCATCCTCAACTACCCCGTGTTTATCAGCAAGGTCGCCCTCAAAGTGCTTCGCAGCACCACCTTGGGCGGCAAGTTCACCCAGAGATATTTAGACATAGCCCGCAGTCTTGCCAATCTAATCAAAGTGGTTGCACAGCTAGCATTAGCAGCGGAACTTCTGGTTATGCTTCTCTCAATAGTAATTGTAAAGGCGGGCATAAACCCTCTGGCGCCAGACTTCGTGCTGCTGAATTGATACCTCTTCTTCGCGGAAAATATGCAATGTTGCCTGGAGGTCGCACTCGAAATGGTGGACCGATTCTTTGCTTCCCTGCCAATTCTCATGCCGATTTTCTACCTCTCGAGGAACTCTATTTTCTGGTTCTATACCTTACCTATCTCCCTGAGGAGAATGTAAAGAAACTGGGATTTGCCGTTATCATTGACATGCGCAGTGGGACTACTTGGCATAGCGTGAAGCCTGTATTAAAGGTGTTTTTTTTTATGAAATTTTTGTCTTTGTTGTTTACTATTCCCTGTCTAGTCTGTTTTATCTTTCTATGGTAAGGAATGTATTTGAGCCAGTTTGTCATAGCTTGTAGGTAATTTTAAATATCTAAAAATTGTAGCTTCCTTAATGGATTTGTCACATCTAGTTGTCTTTATCGACTTAAGTTTATTATTTGCTCTTCATTAGGTTATCGAAGAGTGTATAGGCGGAAACGTTGCAATGGCGTATATTATTAAACCAGACAAATATTTGGAAAAGCAAAAGGTTCAAATGTCTATTGGGAAATTCAGCTTCAACATTCAGTTGGTGTCCGTTGAACAGCTTTTCCTTGAAGTTGATGCCAGTCAGCTGACCGCTGATTTAGAGGTTAGTCTAAGCTCCTCTTGTTGGTTTGTACTCAGACAATTTCTTCACTTAATCTTCTTCGTTTATCCGTCCCTCAGTTCTAATCAATTGCTGTGGAATTGTGATCCTCCCTGCGAAATCTAGCCATATTTTCACTGATCATTGTTCAACACTACACTGCCAATTTCATTTTGGCTTTGAATGAGCACCTTCATAGCCATTTTATATTTGGTTCTTTTTAGTTTGCTGACTTTTGTTTGATGCTACATGAGTTTCCTTGTCCGCTGGATTTATGCCAGTTCTGATGTAGCTCTAAATTTTTCAGGGTACCCTTCCCTACAACCATGAAGAGTGGATTCAAATCCGGTGCTGTTTGGAGGAGTTCTTCATGTTCGCTCATGACATGTCTGATAAGTTCAGTCAACTGTACTGCTTTCTTGACCAAAAACAGAACCCTGAATCTGTCGAGGAGTCGAAACGCGCATTAGAGGACCACCGGTCAGTTCGTTTGAAGGTGTGTTTCAGCTTCGTTACTTTCAATTTAGATTGAACCGTTGTTCATACGTAAGCAGTCCAGCGGCATAAAAGTACCCATGGTTTTGTAGTACAAGTAATTGTAATCGTTTTAGTTTGTTGCTTTAAGAATATCGAAGCAACTGGGTCTACTTACGAATTATCTAACATATTTTATTTAAATTCTGCGGGGGAGACTGGTTAGGTTGAATACCGTGTGATCTTGCCTCATAGGTAATGCAAGCTCCCGTACCCGCACTGGAGGCGGAGTCGGATCGCCTTACAGCTTGGCTCCGTTACGGCATCTCTGCAGCTGCCTCCGCCTCCGCATCGGGCGGTGCTGCTACGGCTGTTTCTACCGCGGCAGCCGGTCTTCCTAGTAGCGTCGGTAATGCAGCAAGCAGCTCCGGGGCTTCCTACGTACCCTCCTCATGGGTCTCCATGAACCCAGACTTCCAGCAGGTAAGTTGGTTTGCTTTTTTCGATTAAATTACGCACATGAAGTTCACTTCCAATTTTTGATTTCGGATCTTGGCTTATTTTTTTCCTGGGATGACCGTGATGGCAGTCTGTCTTACTTCCTCATTATGCATTGTATCCGTTTTTTGAATAAAATTCGTTAACTGCTAATTCTCAATCAATGTCTCGACGCATCACATTCGCCGTCAGCACATTCACTTTCTGCATACATAATTGTTTCTAAGCCAATTAGCTAAGCCTGCTAATGGTTCGGAGGTGATGTTTTCAGCAGATTTCCGTGTACTTAAGGCACGGGTCGGTTAGGTTCCAATCCATTAAATATAACCAACTGTTTTTCAGCTAATACCCCTTTAATTGTTTGAAGGATCAGAGCCTCCGTTTTGTTTTAAAGTAGAGTACTTAGGTTCCGTATGAAATCTCCTACAACTGGTACTTATCCCCTCTAAATTACACTTGGATTGAAATTTTGCTCAAATTACGTTTTGGAAAGTTATTATCAGGTACATCGCAAAATGTCACAAGCTTTGTGAAGTACATTAGGCTTTATTATGATTTTTCGTGGATTTACTAGTGCCTTTGGCGAACACATCTGGTGATGTATTTCCTCCTTTGTGTTGAAAGTATGCCTGTTGCCTTTTGCTGATTTCCCTTATCCACTTCAGTTAATCCCACAAGTGCGTCAGACTGTGACTCAGTTGTACGAGTTTCGAGCGCACCTTCAGCAGAAGTGGGAGACGGGGAGGACGCGCTTGGAGCAAATCTACCAATTTCGTCTGTTCGAGGACGACGCCAGTCGCATGACCGCATGGCTGGAGCAGCAAAGTGTGCTTCTTCTCACTGAACACGCCGATATAGGCGAAACTGCTTCTCAGGTCTCCCGCTTTCTGTTTTTCTTTAATAAAAGACTTCATAAAAACCTTTAATTCGTCCGAATGTTCTATCATATAGCCTAGTTCATAGTGTGTTTATATCCAGCCTTAAAAATTATTTTACGTCTTTTTTCAGCTCTGTAAATTGCGAAGTAGGTTTGTTTTGTGTCTTCGTCGCTATAAGGTCGTAACACTGGCTTCTACATTCGATCCTAACACTTGCATTCATTATCATAAAGATGCTTTTCTTTTTTTATGCCCATGTTGGGCGTGTCAAACATTGACCTTTTGTAAACCTTCCAGGCTGTCGAGTTGCACAATCAGCACCGACAATTCCTGCAGAAGTGTAGTGGAGTGCGAGAGCAGGTGTCACGCCTTACGGGAATCGCTCGTATGCTGGCCGACACCGGACACTTTGCCGGTCAGCAGATGCTTAAGCAAGTGAGACTACTTTCGGTTGCTATCTCTATTGTGGTGCTTCGCTACAACGAAATGTACATTTTTTGACCATTCCAGCACTGCATGTTCGGTCATCATTATCTCACTTGCATACCATTTTTCTCATGCGAACAATTTTCTTTAAAATTGGTGGGCAGTTATCAATAACATCAGTTGCAATTGGAGAACAATACTGTATTCGGTGCAGTGATGCGAGAGACTAGTTTTTTCATGGCCTCCTTTCTCAGCAATTTTAACCTTCCAAGGAGGGACGAGGTCATGCTCTTCTTCTGTTTGTGTACGTGTAGTGCCTGATTTCTCTGTTCTATGGTGACAAATATTTTCGCCGAAGATACGAGGCACAGGAAATATCCACTTGAATCAATAACGCTTTATTGGCTCTTCGTACAGTTTTAATTCGTATGTGATGCACCTTCACATGTGATAATAGTTTTATCGTTGATGACTTCTAATAATAGTCCTCCGCCCTTTAATTCTTCAAGTTAAACCTGAGTTTGAATGATTTCAGAAGGATTTTTTTTCTCAAGACTGAATATGTGTATTTTTGTTATGTGTGTTCTTTCCGAGCAGCTGAACGGATAAGATTGGTTCAGTAGCTTAACCGACACATTTTCAGGTCTCTGAAATGTTGATAATTCTGTGGGGTTTTTTAAATATGTGGTTTAAGTCTGTATTACCACAAGAATTTCCATTTCCTGAATGACAATTTCTTCCTTTTCTAACATATCTCGTCGCAAATTGGAATGTTTAGCTGAAGGTGAGCGTCTCTGGAAGAGAGTTTGTTGCTGTCCTATCTGTGATGCGAGTATTTATGCGCAGGACGCTCACATAATTTTCAAAACAGAAGTTGATGGCTTCGATCGCTTACTGCTATAGGCGTCACCTTCACTGTCAATCTCTATGAATCACCTCTAGCTTAGTTTGCGTACAAGTGTCCTTTTCCTGCTCTCATGCAATTTAACGTCGAATTTTCCTCTCGCTTACTTATTAATCTAATTTCATTTACTCAACTCACAGGCGAATGAGTTGGAACATGAGCGAAAGTCTTTCACTACGGCTCTCGAAGAGCGCTCTCGAGTGCTTCAGCTTTCTACCAGTTTCCACACTCGCGCTGAGGCCTTCCTGAATAACTGCACCACTTGGGAGACCAGCGTGCGTCACGTTTCTGGCACCAACGTCAACGATTTGAATCAGGCCCTGAGGCTTATCCAAGTACGCATAAACTTCTCTCTATCTTGAAACTAGCTTTTTTTACGTGAATTTCATCCTCCCATTAGGAGCGTTGGCAAGATATTCAGCAATCTTACGAAGAAGCCTGTAGAGACGGCAGAGCCATGGTAGATCTTCTGAGTGCCCCAGTCACCGGTGGGTCGCACACTTCACTCACAGCTGCGATCGACTATTCTCAGGGTCGCAAGCATTGTGCCGACTTGGTGCACGAAGTATGTGGTGAACAACATTGAGCTCAAACTCTTTTCTGCTCCTCTCAAAAACCTTGTCTCTGCTTCCAGTTATGGGCGTGGTATAAGCGGTTGGAGCGAACTTTTACCGACCGAAAATCCAGGCTCACCTCTCGTCTAGCACTGCTCATGTTCAAGGAGGATGTGGGGCAGGTTCTTACGTGGCTCTCAGACCACGGCGAGCCCTTCCTTGCCCGGCAAACTGCCATTGGCAAGTCAAGCCAGCGGGCCGAGCAGCTCTATAATGCACACATGCAGTTTGAACAGGTTTGTGTTCGTGAATTCCTTTGCCGCTACCGTTCCTTTAATCTTGCTTCTTGGTTGTCAGTCTCGTAATCCCCTGATTTGAGAAGGTGAAATCGAGAGGCAGTGTCCTTATTTGGCTATTGCAGCCGTTGGAAGCTCCACATCGTTTGGCTGCATTCGTGAGCGACTCCAAAACAAATATTTACCCTATGTTTTGGAGCTATGGTACTCGTTTTGCTTATTTTGGTGTATTTTTAATTTCACTTTAAGTGCACCCTTTTTTTAACCAAAAATTGTGTTTTCATTCTTGAAGACGATATTTTAATTGTACTGATTGTGATATAAGTTCATGTTTTGTATGGCGAAGTTGATTAATGACTTTAATTGATCACTTTTACTCAATATTGTTTCAAAACAACTAGTTGATTTATGCATTATGCTTAGTTGTAGAATCGGTGGGTGGTTAAAGCTTTAGGAAACAAATAAACCCTTTTCGAAGTAGGTACTTTACCAGACTAACCATGCCATTATGTTTCCTGCTTATAGGTTGCTGCCAACACCCTTACTAATGCAGATAAGTTGATCTCTGCAGTCGAGGAACTCGCTTCCCAGGCAGAGAACCCTCGTGAAGTCCGTCAGGTGAGTGTCTACTTTTAAGAGCGCCTTTTTACGTCTAACTGTATTTTGCTTTCATATGACGTTATACGAGTTCGCCTTATCAATGTGGTCCCACCTTTGCGTAGATCACAAGTTCTATAGACGACCAAAATGTCGCATTTTCACTAGAAGTCAGGTTGAATAGCATTTGGGAATGGCCCCTCCCCTCTACTCGTCCCTTCACTTTTTATCACAGCGGTTTCACGTTTGCGTGTGTATGCTTTTCGCACATTCTAATGTCGCCAATGTTGTTATCTTGAAAACTTCCGTCAGTTAGAAGATTGGATCGCCTCCGCCCGTAATATGACTGTCCAGAAGTTATCACAGTTCCCAGACTTCCTAAAGCTGGCTTATTTCTCGACGTTTCGCATAAAGCGCAAACTCGGCAACCTTGATACTAGCTTGCGCTGTCTTGTGTTCACAACAAAACATGGCATATGATTCCATCCTGAGGAGATAGGGCTACGTTTCTTATATGGTCTTGTCTTGCTTGAATGAGGTGCGAGGCTAACATTGATGGCATAAACATGCATGTCATCCGGCCTTCTATTGGTAGATTCTGGGGCTGTTCTCACCACATGTGCATGCGCAACCACGTAACTACTTCCCTCTTCGAAATGCAGCACTGTTCGCAGGCGCGAGCAATAAATGATGTTGCCTCGTTTTTTCCCCATTTGATTCATAGTCTAATAGTCCGTATCATTATGTTGGCGGACTACTTGCCCTGGCATCTCTTGAACAACTGGCTCCTCTGATCAATGCAAAGTGCACTTCCTTTTTATTTTACATTCATCCACTTGAAAATTTTGAATTTCTTGAGATAAGTTAACGGCTGATTCTCCGTGTCATTGATCTTGGCATTTATTGGAATGCAGATTGGCTACTAGTTCTGTACATGTTGGCTTATCTGTTGCTTAAATCCGCCAGACTATTAATATATCCTTCATATGAACTATTTTTGACTGTATTTTTCCCAAATTGCATACCTGTTACTCACTCCATGAAATCATGACCATTTGCGTCACTAGTCGTAGAAATCTAGCATGTGTTTACTAGGAGTTTCTGTCATACGACAGCACCACAGCGCACCTTTCACTATTATTTGTCGTACATTTGAGAAACTTAACAATACACGTGTTGAGGATGCAGGCGTTACCATTTGTTTTGTTATTGGTCGGGTTTTTAGCAATGCCATACCTTTCTCCATTAAGGGCTTAGTTGTGCGGTTGGTGGTAGCAATTGACCTGTGGGAAATGGTATCATTCAGTAAATCAAATCACCGACTCATAACCTAGGCAATATAATCTTGAGGATTTTTATATGGTACTACTAATCTATCTACTTTGATTGTGCTGTTGACAAACATTACTGGTGTGCGAAATGCTACGTTTTATTTGTGCTACCGTACAGAGGTCTCGAGTCAAGGTGCTCGTAAGTTATTTCGTTTTGGCCGTTTTGTGGCAAAAAGCCTACTGGTTGCCTCTTGCCACTTCGTACTTCCATCATTATATCTCGTCTTTATTGGAGTATTTGACAACCTTTTACTGTACAGGAGGCAGCCAAGCTACAACAACGCATAACAAGTTTTACCAATGCAGTAGACTCGAGGCGTGAGATGCTGGATCTAGCTTGCGGATTCTATGGCCACACGAAGGAGGTGCTAAATTGGTTGCACAATGCCAGCGAGGCCTACAACCCTGGGGAGCACTTCCCACCCACTATAGAGGGTATGGACGACGAACTGACCGCCTTCCGCCAGCACCGAGACAGCCTCGAGGTGGCGGTCAAACGAGTCGTCTCCGAAGGAAAGGTTCTCATCTCACGGCTTCAGGACTCTGAGGAGGCTGCGCATCTTCGCTCCATCCTCACTCAGGTTCATTAACCCTTTTAGCTTCACGCCACTTAATCTTTTTGGTATTTTTATGCCCTCCACGTTTATTGGAATTGAGCTGATTTCCTCGAGTTAACTTTTTTTGGCCAACCCGCATTAATGCTCCGTGTTTTACATTGGTCTCTCTCGCTTGGAGCACGTGAACACACCACAGAGAGCGCCTGCAAGCTCAAGCCGTCCCATGAAAATAACTGGGATTTACTATCTGTTTGTGTGATTGATCTGTTTGTCTGAAAGTTCTGTCAATAGTTCGTGCGAAAAGAAAAGACTCTTACTTTCTCTCACCGGCCCGTCTGCTTGACTTGTTATTCATTGACACCCCTTTCCTGTTTGTCTAATTGTTCTTGTTTATTATTCATAACACACTAAACCCACTTCTCTGGCTTCCTTGTACTTGGAGTTAAGTTGCACCACTCCAACGACTATTTGCCTCCGCGAAGAGCTTTCAACCACAGTGAAAGATTAAATTGGTTAAATAGGTCAAATGGTTCTACTTTTAGTTATATCATCTGCTTTTTCCTTTACAGGTTACTAACGAGCGTGACGCTGTGTGGGAGCTTCTAGGGGACCGCCAAATGAGACTGGAGTTGTGTATGCAATTGCGTCTCTTTGAAGCCGACGTGCACAACTCTATGGAGGGTTTACGTCGAGACGTGCCTGCCATCACGGCTGTGGTCAATGCTACATCTGCAGTCCCCTCGACTTCCCCTACGGCCCCGACAGCAGCGACGGAGTCAAACGTTGCCAGCGCTGCGCCTTCCACTTCCGGTGTTTCCTCTATCTCTACCGCTGCCACTGATCTCTACTGGATATCAGATCCTCGAAAGGCACCTAGCATTTCCGCTTTAGAGGAGGTAAACGTCTCCTGTACGGCTATTCTTCCGAAGGTGGAAGAAGTACTCGACAAAGGCGGTGAACTTATACGCATCTTTGAGTCGGTTGCAGTAAACTTTCCTGCCGGTAATTGAGAATACTTTTGGAAGCATTCCTGTTTTTATTCGCTTTAAACCAAATACGGGCCTAAAAACAGGATCTATAATACTAATTTTTCTTCCAGGAGGTCCGGGATCCAGTGACTCAGGTGTTGGTGATAGTTCCGAGACTGCAGTCGAGCGCGTGCATCGTCTTATTTCCGAACTCGGTGAATCTGTTGCCACTGTTGACGAAATCAATGAGCGTGTTAGCAATGAACTCGATTGGCGTCGCCTTCAGTCTCAGTCTAGACAAGTTTGTCATGCCTTCTTTTCAACTACTAATACTTCTCAAGCTTCGTCAATGGCTTGGTGTGTTGGGTACATATTACTAACGCAAAAATGGTTGAATGAAGCTCTCATTAGTTAGAAAAAAGGACTGTCGGCTTATACCCGTATCGGGCAGGGAACCAATGGGGGCTTCTACTCATATTCTGTTCATTGCATAATATTCCCCGACAAATCAATCCGGCGCATGCCCAACATACGAGTGATAGAATGTCTAGGTTACAAAAATCCGCCATTTTAATGGAAAATGACAGATACTGATGCATCACGGGAAGGGCTGATGCTTCGATGTATTGGCAATTATAAATCCAGTGCGAAGAATATTACTAGCTAGACTTAAACACTCTGTGATATGATTAAACAGCAATCAACTTGCTTTATCATTTTATTATAGTTATTTAGATGGAGCATTAGCTGTAGTATTCTGCTCGGCCAGAAATTGACCCAACTTAATGGTTGATTGTAGGTGTTGAAATGGATTGGGCAGTGTGAGGTGATCCTCTACCAGACGGCGGTGATTCCGACAAGTCTGGCGGAGGCTGAAGCGATGCAGACGGACCACGACAAATTCCAGCCCGTGTTGAACGACGCGCACCCCGAGGCAGTGCAGTGTGCTGCGCGAGCCTCCTACCTTCTCCAGTCCGTTGCAGCTGACCATCCGCGCCGCGCTGACTTCCAGGCGGTCGCGGAGAACGTCGCCGAGCGCTGGCAGAAACTCGTCTACGCCGCCGAGGAGAAACATAAGCTCCTCATCGCCGCCACCAACTGGTATTCTCATTTCCCCATAATTACTGCACCTCCGTCAAGGCGACGGCGCTCAAATGCCCTTTAATGTCCCTAGAACACGCTTCCTTGTGGTTCGAAATGGCGATAATATTTTGCTAACATTAACTATCATCGGTCGAGTTCCCTTCAAAGGTAGGCCTCCAGTCAGAATTTCCTGTTGCTACGTACAACTTTTATCATCGAATTGATTGAGTCGATTAATAGGCAATCCTGGCACTTAAACGGGTGCTTCGTCTTGGACAACATTTGCAATACGGAATCAGATTTAGAAAACGATTAGTTCAAATGGCTACCGCTATCCGTCGGTACGATTCCGCTATTCAGAATTGAAATCTACCCATCTTTCTACTTAGTCTAACCTGTGGAGCATAGTATTTCACTAACAGTATTTCTACTATCCCACTATATCAGTGCAATTGATTTCTGCTCTGCCAACGTGAACATAGCGCACGCACGTCCATCTGAGTAGACACCTGTAGACCACCCGCCTCTGGTGGTTGGGTTGACTTGACGCTCAAACCTACCCACGTTGTTGCTCAAATAGGACATTCCCCCTTCTATACTCTATTCTCATGGTGTCTTGTGCACTAATGGTTTACTAATGATCCACTAGTTGTGTTTGTTACGTACCACCTGGCCTCACAACTGGGATCGCCTTCATCCTGGTGCCTATAGACTATTTTTTAAACCAGAAGCTTTTTATCAAATTATTTGTTGAATTTCATCCAGCTTTGGTGTTAAAGGCTATCAATCGTCCCATGAAATGCATTTCAGTATTTCCGCATTCTTGTTCTGGGGAGCCCTAATCCCCAGATTAAGCACCAGAAAATTCTATCCTTTATATTTGAGGGAATGTGGAAGACTGTGTCCATTGATATGCTTCATCGTTCAGGTACAAGACCTCCGAGCAGGTGATATCAGTGCTGCGCTCGTTGGAGAAGGATTACCGGCGGGAGGAGGACTGGTGTCGCTCTGACAAGGCACTTAACAGTGGAAACGTTGAGTCCTACCTCAATGATCTCCTCAGCAAGCACGGCGAGCAGAAGGAGGCCTTCCTGAAGGCGTGTATTCTTGCCAGGTCTGTAACACATCAGCTATATTTGCAAATTGAAACCGTTTTGTTATGCTGCCACGTTTATTAACTTTGCTTACCCTCTACCGAATGTCGAAACTAGATATACTTAACCTATTTATGCGAACACGTTGATAAACTGCCCTATTCGGATTCGGGAAAAGGGATTCCAGAGTCCTTACCTTTCCTATAGTTCGTATTTAAGATATCAAACCGCGCAATGGTAGGCTTTATCGTCCATGGAGATTCATGTTTCCCAAAAATTTATATTCTTGAAACATTCATTTATTAGTTGTTCTTTTTTACAAATTGTTTCCGTTTATGAGTATCAGTGTTTTACTCATAACTTTCTTTAAGACCCGTTATTTAGTTAACTACTCGTACGCCACCTTTGCTGCTGCGATGTTGGTCTTGGTATCTCTTCTAAGTTTATGGTGTAGTGTGGCATTGAACGGCGGAGACAAGGCCAGACAAAAAGACCAGCAGCAGTGATAGCGGCGCTTCGATTAGTCATGCGCGTACGCTTGCGTCTCTAGTGAATTTCAACTGGTACAGCTCCCGTGTCCACGACGTCTAGGTAGTTTGGACTATATCTTGCATCGGGCATGCGTCTTATCACTGGAACATTGACCAGATTGTTTTTTTTACATTTGATGTTGTGATTGGCTTCTTCTCCTGAGGGTCAACGCCTCAACTTTTTCATAATTTGGTCTATTTAATAGACGAACCTCGGAGCTGTTCATGAAGTATCTGCACCGACAGCCCCCCACGACGGCTTGTAGGACTAAAGTGGAGGAGCGAATTCGCAGTGACATGGCTGACCTCATGGCCAAGGAGCAGGCCGTGCTTGAGGCCTGGGCCGCCCAACGCCGTCGTTTCGAGGAGTGTGTCAAATTTGTGACTGTTGAGGTGAGTTACATTGCTGACCCTCACTGTGAATTACACACTGTATCGTATCAACTGTTGACAATTCAGTCATAGGGTGCATCCTATTCCGTGACAGCTATTGCAACGAATCGCTGACATGTCAAAGGGTGGCTCTAACTTGTAGCAAGACATAAGTAAATATAACTGCACTCGCCCTGCTGTAGTCTCGTGCGTGAATATCTAGTGTTTTCAGAAGTGTAGAACATGATATTAATAATGTACCAGCACTCATCATGTGGAAATATAAAATCGGCTGATCTAGCTAATGCCAATATTCCTCCAGCATGGCCTTTCCTTGTGCCAATGCTTTGTATAGATAAGCCTCCTTCTCTTGCTGTCTGCGCTGCAGCAGTAATTTTTGACTGTTTCCAATGCCTACCAGCAATTCTGAAGTGCTCTCTTGACGCATTAATCCCTAGTACGATGGCGGTGGTAGCGAAGTTGTTGGTTGGGTCCTCTTCACGTGTTGTTAGACGAGAGGCAGCAAAAAGCTACAATTTCAGTGTGATTTCGCCCTTCAGCCCCGTATAAAATAGCTTAGTTGGTGCCCCGTTAAATTTGCGCAGCCTTATTTTTTTCTGCGTGTGGAAAATCGGCCCTTTTCTGTAAGCGCGACCATGCTTGCCTAACGGCTTGTACTTGGATTTCCTCATGGCATGAAGGGGACTAGTGCATCCCATCGTTTGCATTTTAGGGACGGGTGTACGATCTAGTGAAACGGCCTCTGATAACAAATTAGGCGTATTTTTTACCTTGTTTATACGAAGCACGCAGTACTTCGTACGTTCGTGGACAAAGTACGCAATGCGATGGCGAAGAGGAGTTCCTTTAATTTTATAGTGATTTTCCAGTCTACAAATGGTTGCAGAGATATTTCCTTTGTTTCATTTGTCTTTCAAAGGTGATATGCTTTTTAAACTGCCTCTTATTGATTGATGTGTTACCCCTTTATTTGTTTCATGTGCGAAAAAGTGGCTTCGTATTTTCTCGGAAAACCACTTTGATACTGAACAAACGCCAAGGGCAAATAGTTCTATATGGTTATTTTTCGGCTGTGTTGTCCGCAAGGTACTCCTTTTGCCACATACGCTACGGACGATTAATGACCACTGCTATGGTTATACGGAAGGGCTTTGGATCAGAAACATGGGCACTAGGGTTCATTCAATAAGAAACAAGAACTTTTCTGACATTTTTTGTCCAAACGCCATTACTTGTCCCAGATTGAAAATGAAACATTGATGTGCTGCTTTTTTTCACTTTAGGCTGAGATGCTCGATCTCGCGCGTCGCATCTTGCAATTCGTGGGTGGCCCGGTGAAATCAGCGGAGGACCCGAAGGTGGCACTGCCTCTGCTGCCACGCCAATCGTCCCTCTTCGCCACGGTGAAGCGCGCCTGCCAGTCCCTGAAGGCCCTCCTTGAGGCCGGAGTGGGTGCCCATCACTCCGATAGTCTTCTCAAGACTTATCACCGCCTCAACGCCTGCGTCGCCCCTGTGGAGACGCCTCGACCACCTGAGAGTGACTCTGCCTCTGCTGCTGCAGCCAAGATGCGTTCCACTGGCACCGGTTCCAACAGGTTTGTGCCTTTTGAATTTACTTTTTCGCTTACCCACTTTGCCTTCTTTTCACAGCAACGTCCTAGTTATTACACGTGGTACAAAGGGTTTAAGATTATGGTTTCATTGTGCATATGTACGCATGTCTGATCGTTTAGAACCTCTGTGTCAAGCACAGGAAGCTCGGGAGTGGCGTCAAGTGACACAACGCCAAGTATCACCGCTACGGTTGGTTTGACGGAGGAGCAGCGGAAACTCATAAACAGACGCCAGAATATCCTCCGTGAGCTGGTAACCACAGAGCGAGCCTACGTTTTGGCTCTTCGCACTTGTCTTGAGACTTTCCACGCCGGCACTATGAATCCGCCTGTAGATATTCCGGTAAGTTTATGTAGTGGAGGCATCACTAATTTTCCCCTTGTTCTCCTCACCTTGTCCTTGAGGCTACTTGCCAGCAGCGATAGTTCTGCGATTTTCCTATTGAATTGCGCCCATTTTTGAGCGTATATTTGCGCGCACTTTTCTTACAATGGCTTTTCAGTGACAAAAAAGGCCGTTTGCTCTTTTTTGGATGACGTTATTGCCGAACTTTGGGGTTTTTAGTCCAGGCACGTACGCCTATTCTATTTTAAGGTTAATTTGTTCTGGCTATTCTTTTTAAGTACGCATTTAGAGGCTGTCTCTCATATGGGCGAATGTGCGCATGCACCATGGTAATTGCTGTTATTGAGGTTCAGGATTTCCATGATTCTGACATCATCACCATTCCAAAAATAGGGCTTGTGTTTGGTTAGTACCTGATTTTCAGCTCCAATCAAGACCGTCACTTTCATCATTGGGAAAATTGGGAAACTAATTTAAACTTTTAACCTTCCCTGTCCTTCTAACTAACTTTTTTGTTTCCAAACTCCAAGTCTCGTTTAATTTGGGCTTTGCTATCGTACTATGTTGAGCATTCGTTGTACTGGAGGAAGTAGTGCACTAAATGACTAAATAGTGGTGCCTATCGAACTTGACAGCATTAATTGCGTCTACAGCCGCGCACATAAATATCCATCCACCATGATGAATTCGGTGGTATTAGGGTGTGTGAAAATGGTCCAGATCGGTCAAAGGCATTTACTAGGCGTCTGTTTCTTCGATTAAATTTCCTTAAGGTCTCCCACCCTTGCCAAGTGCCAGTGCCTCTCACGCGTCTCTCTCCTGTTCTAATTAAAGGTGTCTCGTAAATTCAAATTCACATCCGCGGTTTACTTGAGACGGTACTTTGGAAAGTTGGTAGGATTTTTTTGCGGTTAACATAGCCAATCCCATTCGGTCATTTTCAACAGCCTCAACTGACCTTTTAGTGATGAATGTGCGCGATGTTGCATGCCCTCAGTACAGGTGCGATTTAGCTACCATCCGTACTACATCCACGATTTTCACTTTTCACACGTTTCATGGCTTAGATACTCTGCTTTACACCTTTCAAATTGTTACTTCTAGGATGGTATAAATACTTGCTCTCAATCGGTTAGAGTGGATTTACTGCAGGTTTCAATCGAAGTTCACCTGCCTTCATTGTAACATTAGGCGAATCAAACGTTACAGCGGCTTTACCGCTCGCTTTTTTTAACTCATTTGTTCACCCAAATGCAGCAATTCCTACCAGCGTATTAGATCCGGAACTCCACGTGGTGCCTGCTAGCCTTAGAAATAAGACAGTCTTGCGATGTCACAACGTCGCATAATGTCTATGCACAAAGGCAGCATTCATGTAGGGAATGAATCGCACGTAAGCAGCCGTAAATGTGCCTGTGTATGTTTGGCACAGTGACGAACAGACAATGCATATTCCAACGACATGATGCACTGTTTCTGCCTCAAAGACCACCCAGTCTAAGGTGAATTGGTTCCATTGTCGTGAAAAGTAACTTTGCTAGACCAAGAATTCCCCTTAGAATGTCGGATTTACGCACCTCCATCCGATATAATCAATACCGTGTGTGTCTTGCTCTCCTTGAACCTGCTTATCTTTTGTTGCAGTTCTGTGCTACCCGTTTACGTGCATGCGGTATCGTAAAAACAGACTTCTTATCAGATGTCGTAGGCGTACTGGTTTCAGCCATTTGATGGTTTAGCACCTGATCTGTTCACTTCCTTGCACTGTAGTCATTGTCAAATTGTAATCACGAGTTTTAAAGTCGCTCATTAATCTTATACTCTCATTGGTAACCTCGAATCGTCCGAATTTATGCTCTGCTTTGCTATGTACCAAAATATGCTAAATTAAACATTCATTTAATAATACGCCCCGTTCCCACTCATATTAGATGTAAAATGTCAACGTTTTATAATGCCATGCTATGGCAGTCAGGATCGTCTAGACAGGCTATTCGTGTTGACTATAAGTGTGCATCGTAATGCTTCTGATTAGAGTGCATTTTCTGCTTCGTCTTCACTGCGGTAGCAATGCTGCTTCTTTACTCTTATCCGTGGTGTCAAAAAGCTGGGGTTGTTCTCAATCGTTCGCAATATTGTCAGCGCAACTACTTTCTCATTGCATCATAAAACCTTACTACTTGAAATTTTCAGTTAATTTTTAAGTGCGCTTTGTTCCCTGACCAAGTTGGTTTAAGCCCTTTCTGGTGTTTACGCATCCTACGAAATCTACCATTGAGATAATGTGCATTAACCACAGTCACGCAATCCCAATAATTAATCGTACCGTGAAATTAACTGGCTGACCTTTTATGCCAGTTGTCTCATTATCCCACCAACTTCGTAGGTTGGATATTTCTGCATTTATTTTGCTGTTATTATTTAAAAATTTCAGGTCCCCTCATACATAGCCGGCAAGGAAAGCATTGTTTATGGTAATCTGGAGGAGATCTACCACTTCCATGAGAAATTTTTTGAGCCCGAGATCTGTAAGTATGCCAGTGGCGGTGACTTTCTGCCCGAGGACGTGGGTCACTGTTTCGTCTCCTTCGGTGACCGATTGGCGGGTCTCTACGTGGAATACTGCGTCAATAAAGAAGACTCCATGCAAATCCTTGTAGCTGACACGGAGAACTTCTTCGGGCGTCTGCAGCTGCGTTATCAGCTGAGCGAGCCACTCCAGTCCTTTCTCATCAAGCCCGTGCAAAGAATCACAAAGTACCAGCTTCTGCTACGTGAAATCCGCGAATGCTGCGACAAATCCTCTGCCGGTGAGCTGTCCGAGGGCCTCGATGTCATGATGGCTGTGCCTAAAAAGGCAAATGAAGCCATCCACCTCCGAATGCTTCAGGTAGTCCTGAGTGCTGCATTAACTGGGCCTAATTTAGCCCCAGAAACGCTGGGTCTTGCACAGACTCGGTGCAACTGCCTAGCGTCTTATGCTCGAATCAGTTCGAGGTCACGTATTTTTTTATATTATTGCTAAACAAAAGGTCACGTTTGCAAAAGGTTATTACCTGTTCAAGATCTTGAATGGCTTTCGTTACGTATCATTAAGATCAAGGTATTAGAAACGTTAAACAGGTTGTTCTGCTTTTTGGAGGAAAAGTTGGTGCAATTTACCCGGCAGAAAATCATGTACTAAAGTTGTGTATTTTCATCACAGTTTATTAGAGCATTTAAGCGCAGATGTTCGCGGTAATGTCATTGGACTTCCACTGTTCGGTTTTTACATATTTCATTTGTAGTTAAATTGTAACACGGCATTGACTTGATCAGGGTTCTGTGTTTTCGCACGCATTCACATCTGTTTGTACTGTGCACAGTTCCAAAAAAGGGTCTTATGCAAATGAATGTCAAACATCAGGATGTGTGCGCGTCCCGCTAGGCATTTGCTTGAAGCTCGTACATTAGTGCATACACGGGTAAGAGAATCGCCTCTTGTGTTTCGTTTTTTCAAGGGCCTACCAGAAGACTTACCGATATCATGCCTCGGCGACGTGGTGTTGCAGGACCAATTCACCGTGTGGGAGCCCAAACAGCTCATCAAGAAGTCTCGTGAGCGGCGTGTCTTCCTCTTTGATATCTGCCTCGTGCTTGCCAAGGAGTGTCCTGTCAACCCTGGGGAAAGCAAAATGAAGTAGGCATACCTTTTTTCTGCCTGCATACATGCAATCGCATAATCTTTAGTTGGCATTCACCGATGCACAATCCTGCCCTGCTTTTCAACGCATGATTCTTAACACTTGTTAAAATTAAGGCATCTCTCCTCAGCTAGGTGACCTCTCGCTCGCGTACATTGCCCTCGATCTTTTTGATTGTATGTGTGAGCCTCGTAAAATCAGCGTCGGAATGTTTCCGCACTCATTTCCACCTCGAGTATCACTACCCTGATTAGTTTATTCGCACCTCAGGTGTATGCTTATTCTTGAGCCCCGCCTCAGATACCAGGATGTTGAACATATGGGAGCTTGTTTCCCGTTTATAACCTATTTTTGTCTCTAATTTTCTACATTTTATTTGTACATTTTGCTTTATCTTTTTCCTATTCAGTTCTTTTAGTACATTCAACAAATAATCGAGGTTTTTAGGTGTCCTGTACATAAAACAAATCAGTAACTTGCTGTACTCCATGGCTTTCCTAAACTATTCAATAAGAATAGGAAAACTTTGTCAGCAAGGAGAAGGGGAGAGAGGGTAAATAAAGCTCTTGAAATTTCTCTTCAATTTGCGAGGAAACGGGTGTCTTTTAGTGGCCTTTTCGGTCATATCCACAGGATAGTGCAAAGAATGCAAACTTGGCAACAGCTGCGAATCTGTGGAACTACCCCAAAACATCTAGTTACCTTCAATTTTACTCTCGGATATTCAACTCCATTCCTTTCTGGCTACAAAGAAGGGTCAAATGACGGAGGAGACCGGCAGTTTTTCCGCGCATTTAGTCAAATTTAGGTTTAACACTGATTCTTGAGATCAACTCATTGTTATCCCATAAGATTAACTTTTTCTCAGGTACCAGTTCAAATCGCGTTTCCTTCTGGCTGATCTGAACATCACAGAGCACATAGAGGGCGATCAATGCAAGTTTGCTCTTTGGGCGGGCCGCGTGCCGCCGGTCAACGACTATCGACTGGTGCTCAAGGCTCCCTCCCTTGAGGTCAAGCAGGTTCGTCCCTAGTAAATCACCAAAGGCTTAAACGTTTATGGGAGGGTCTTAAAATGAGAAGTTTATTCATTACTGTTTGCGTAGACGTGGGTTCGAGCCATTCGAGAGGCAATGCGCGAGCGAATGTTCAGCATGCAGAGTCTGCATCAGGATAGCTCTGCAGCTTCTGGCAAGCTCGGTGCAGATAGCGTCTCCACTCTCGACGCCTACTATATTCGCGAAAACTATCAGGTACGTCTTTGCTGTTTCAACGCCGAAGTTCACTAGCCAGTCGCATTTTCGTCTTTCTCCAATGCTCACTTTGATGTCTCGACACTACGGATTAATTGGTTTTAACACATAAAACCGAATTTTGTGTAAATATTCGAACAGCACAATAACTGGCTTGCTCATCTTGCGACTGATAAGTTGAGTGTCTCCCGAACACTATTGGATGTGGTTTAAAGTATGAGAACTATGGGTTGGCTATGTAGGTTGTGTCGGTTTTGTCCGCATATCGTGCTAACGTTGCATTCTTTGCTCGTGAACAGGCTCAAGGTCCAAACGAGATATCAGTAGCAGCTCACCAAATAGTGCAGCTAGTTCAGCGTACTACTCATCCGAGCGTGGAGAGCGTGAGTACGCCTCCGCCCACACCAATTGGCTCAGCATCGGCTGAGCGCGAAGCGGACGGGACAAGCGAGCCGTCGTGGGCGTTGGTGCGCTTTGTAGTGACGGGCAGTGCTTCGTCACCGAACGCACCCGTCGACGAGGGCTTCATCCCTGTGCGTCTCATTGGTGCCCCCGTTTATCCCCGTGCCGCTTCCGTCACTGCTGGTGGCAGCAGTGGGGGACGTCGTTCGATGCGTCGTTGGCTTCCCTCCGCAGGCAGTGGAACCAAAGAACGACGCCAAGTCCTTCCCGGCACTCCTGCTTCCGGCAAGCGTGGTTCCAAGGCTGACATGGCTCCTCCTATTCCTCTTGTCAACGTATGTCACATTATCCCTTTTTAATGTACTAAGTTTCGCCAATAATGGGACACCATCCCTGCATTGATTCACACAGCGATCTCTGGCCGCACCCACGCAGCATCCGGCCACTTCGGCGACTAGTGTCGCGACGCAGGACAACACAGCCCTGTTGGACAACGTCTCGGAGGAGAGCGTGGAACTGGAGCTGCCCCCGCCGATGGTGGAGCTCCAGGCCCTCCCAACTGCGTCTGCAGTTACCTCTGCTGTGGAGAGCGAGACAGATGTTGCCTCGGAGGTAAAGAGAGCTGAAGAGGATGGAGCAGCGCAGGTTTCCAGTCGCTCACCCTCTACTCTTAACATCTCAACCATGGGT